TCATGGTGGGACCGTTGGTCGCCATATTGGATGATTATAACAAAGGGAAGGAGCCAGCCTATTTATAGCGCGCCTTCATGTTTAACCCTGTAACTCCCAGAAGTGATTTACATACATACATACATACATACATACTTTATTTGTCACGTAGGTCGATAAATGGCAGCTAAAAAGCTGATGTGGACCTACAAAACTAAAGAGTGTCTACAAAATTTAAATAATAACAATAACAAATAGCGAAATTATGGTAAGTAAGAAAGGATGTAAGACCTAGTAATATAATATACAGTTGATTTACAGTAGTAATAAAAAGTAATAAAATAAATAAAAGTAGTAAAATAGCTTTTTAATATATGTAATTTACAACGTCTTTATTTAGTCCCTGTAAACCATTAAATGTTATTTTATCTAAAATGTCGGATTTTGCTTTGAGAGCAGATTTGAAAGAAACAATGTTCGGTTTGCTCTTCAAGTACACGGGTAAGTTGTTCCATAGAACAGACGCATGGTGAGAAAAAAGAAGATCGACGGAAGTCACTTTTAGGGCGTTGCACGAATAGCTTCAGATTGTCCCTTAGATTTCTCAACGGAGAGTGTTTAGTAAACAAAGAGCTTATAGCAGCCGGAGCTCTATTGTAAAATGCCTGATAGGATATAGTGGCAATCCTCTTTTTATAGAAATATGATAAGGACTTCCATTTTGTCGCTGCCAGAACTTCAGTATTGGGGTAGATTCCTTTAGGTTAAAAATAAATCTCATGGCTCCAATGTGAATGTCTTCCAGTGTCTGAAGTGACTTAGAAGATCCCCATAATGCAATAGAATACGCAATACTTGGAATGATACCTTTGAAATAAATTGACTCTAAGAGGCGATTGTCGAGTCCTTTTAGGTGTTTGAGTTTCTTCACTCTTGCCGAAAAACGTTTGCTCAAAGATTTTATATGTGGCGACCAAGAGAGTTTATTATCGATAAGAATCCCTAAACATGTAGCTTTGGAAACAAATGACAACTCATTTTGCCCTAAACAAATTTTCTGTAGGGGTCCGATGAATCTTGATTTTGATAACAACATTAGTTCACTTTTTGCGGGATGAATAGTCATGAAGTTATCCTTAGCCCATTTGTTTAAGTCAACGATCGCTTTCTGTATCTTAAATAAAACTTCATCAACAGTATTTCCAATGCAAAAAACAGTAGTTGTCATATTACGTCATACCACGCGCTCCCATCGGACCTGTGGGAAAAAACGTGGTATCGGACCCGCCATTTTGATTTCGCCCATGTTGTCATGTAGTAGCTGTTGCGTTATTGAATAAAGAGTTTAAATGGAAAAATTGTGACATGGATGTCGGAAGTGGGATAGATTTACACCAATAGAGGAATTCTCACCGCTAGAACAACCAAGAAAACCGGTACGTACGATTTTACAGTGTTTACTACAAAGTCCTGTCTTATCGTGCAATTTAGCCAAAAATGAGCGACTTGGTTGGGTTTGAAGTACCAAAAATGGACTGGACCCCTGGCCCAGATTTATTAACTAGATTCAAGAGATTCCGCCAAAAGTGTGAACTGCTACTTGATGGACCGTTAAAAGCTCGAGACGGCACTCAAAAATGCAAATATGTGCTACTATGGTCAGGCGATTACGGAATAGACTTATTTAACACTTGGTCGCTAACCGAAGACCAACAAAAAGACCTGAAAGAATACTGGAAAAGATTCGAAGACCATGTTAAACCACAAGCAAACCATATCTTGAACAGATATTATCTACGAGGTCTGAAACAGAATAATCGTCCCTAGCCACCTTCCTGACTGAAGCAAGGCTACTCATACAGAGCTCAGGTTACCCACCTGACTTACATGACGAACTCATGCGTGACACATTAGTTTTCGGCACCGATTCGGAAGAGGTCAGACGAAAATGCATTGCCCGCGGTAATGAATTAACCTTTGCAAGGGCAAAAGAAATTGCACGAACTGATGAGGCTACCCAGATGCAATTAAAAGCAATGAGTGACACTACAAACCCAAAGCAAGAAGAAGGGGAAGTCAATGCAATCAGCAGAGGAAACAAGCCCAGAAACCAGCCCCACCAAAGGTACACCAGTGGTAGAGGAAACAGACGACGTGACAACAACCTAAGACAGTGCTACAGATGTGGAGACACACCACACACCAAAGACCAGCAGTGCCCAGCCACTGGAGTAGAATGCTTCAACTGCAACAAACGCGGTCATTTTAGCAAAGTTTGCAAGTCTAAAACAAGGTCAGATGTGATGACCCTACAAAAGAACAACCTGATGGTGTAACAAGTGAATGCACAAGCTACGACAAAGTCTTCCTGGGAACACTAGAAGCCCGAGACAGCCCCAGTACCTCAATGATCGCAAGCATTGAACAAAAAAAAAAACAACGCACCAAAGTCACGACTGAAATACAAGTCACGGTAGACCCCCATGATACACACCTGATACCTATTATCTGCAAGGTCGACACTGGTGCAGAAGTTAATGTCATCTCCAAAGACGACTATGACAGACTCAACCGCAGTTCCCAGCAGATACCCCTTGGCCCAACACACCACAGGATTACTGCGTATGGAGGCCACGCCATCAAGACCCTTGGAACCTGTCCACTATACGTCCATCAAAATGGCAGCATTAAAGAAGTCGTTTTCAATGTTACTGACGTACCAGGACCTACAATGCTTGGCTGTAAAACCTGCGAGGAACTTGAGCTGGTAAAATTTAATTGCAGCCTAGAAACCTCCAAAGAAGACAAAGAGACCCGCCTTAAAGAACACAGACCATGCAAACCGCACCAAAGGACCAGCAGATACCCTAGCCGTCTAGACACTGAAACATACCCCCACTGGACAGGATAACCTTCTTCAACAACTTCGGAGACTGCTTTGAAGGCCTGGGAACCTTCAATATGAAACCTTATCACATCACCCTAGACTCCAATGCTGAACCTGTCATCCACGCACCACGTACCGTACCAGTACACCTTCGAGACATGTTTAGAAAGGAAATCAACACCATGGTAGAACTTGGAGTGCTCATACCCGTAAGCGAACCCACAGACTGGGTTAATAGCATCGTCTCTCTGAAACAACCAACGGCAAAGGAGAAGTCACCAAAATCAGAGTCTGCCTCGATCCACGTGACCTAAATAAGGCAATAAAACGCGAACACTACTACACCAAAACAATTGATGAGGTAGTCACACAGCTTAGTGGTGCCAAATTCTTTAGTGTAGTTGATGCCAAAAGGGCTACTGGCATGTACCATTAGACGAAGCCAGCTCCTACCTGACTACTTTCAACACCCCGTTCGGGAGATACCGTTTCACCCGGCTCCCCTTTGGCCTTATTGTATCACAAGATGTGTTCCAGAAACACTTAGATTCAGCACTGGAGGGCCTGAAAGGAGTCACCGGCATTGCAGACGATACATTCATATACGGAGCTACAGAGGAAGAGCACGATGCGAACATGGTAAACCTCATGATCAGATCAGGGGAAAGGGAATCAAATTCAACAAAGACAAAGTACAGCTCAAATGTCAGGAAGTCAGCTTTTTCGGCCACAAATGGACCCAGGATGGAATCAAACCAGATGACAGTAAGATATCTGCAATCCAGAAGATGACCCCACCTGAGAACCGCAAAGACCTCCAAAGCTTCTTAGGCCTCGTAAACTACCTTACAAGATACTCAGGGCGATTGGCTAGCCTCACAGCACCACTGCGAGAACTTACCAAGAAGGACACCGCATATGTATGGGGACCTGAACACGACGACTCATTCAACCAAGTCAAACAGGAAATCACATCAATGGGAGTCCTCAGATACTTTGACCCAAACATCGAGTCTGTCATTCAAACTGACGCTTCCCAGAAGGGAGTAGGCGCCGTCCTTTTGCAGCAGGGGCAACCTGTATGCTATGCCTCCAAAGCACTTACAGACACAGAAAAAACTACAGCAACATTGAGAGAGAAACACTTGGTGTAGTATGGGGCCTAGAGAGATTTAACTACTACATTTTTGGGAAGCACTGTACAGTAAACACTGACCATAAACCTCTTGAGGCGATTTTCAAGAAGCGACTGTCCAGTTGCCCACCTAGATTACAGAGGTTCTTGATGAGAGCCCTGAAATACGACGTTACGGTCAACTACGTAAAAGGTCCTGATGTACCAATAGCCGACGCTCTCTCAAGAGTCAGCCCCAGCCTACCCCTAGCAGCAGTCAACTTTCAGAGATATATGTCCACCACGTCACACAACATCTCCCTGCAACTCCAACAAAGCTACAACAGATCCGTGACGAAACAGGGAGGGATCCTGTGTTGTCTCTGTTAAAAGAAATGGTCTTTGAAGGATGGCCACAGAAAAAGAAGAGTGCCCCCAACTGCTACATGGCTATTGGAATTTCAGAGAAGAGCTGACCATCGAGGACGGCTTAGTACTAAAAGGAGACCGCATCGTGATACCTCCTACTCTCAGACCTGAAATCCTGAACATCATACACCAAGGCCACCTAGGGCAAGAGAAATGCCTTTTACGAGCACGTACATCCGTTTTCTGGCCTGGAATTACAAAGGAAATCATCAACCAAGTTAACCAGTGCGAACCCTGCCAGAAATACCAAAATAAAGCAAGGAAAGAGCCAATACTACAGCCAGAACCGCCACACCGACCATGGGAAAGACTCAGTTCGGACTTGTTCGAATTTAGAGGGCAACAATACCTCCTGTTGACAGATCAATACAGCAGATTTCCTGTCATCAGGAGACTAACAAGCACCACGTCATCTGCAGTTATCAACCATCTGAAGAGCATCTTTTGCAGAACACGGCATCCCTACGCAGTTGACGACCGACAACGGACCGCAGTACAGTTCGGCAGAATTCAAGCATTTTATGAACGTCTACGGGGTAGAACACATTACTAGCTCCCCTATACCCCCAATCCAACGGGTTTGCTGAGCGAATGGTCCAGACCGTGGAAAACATTCTCCAAAAGTGCGATGAAAATAAAGAGGACCCGTACCTTGCTCTCCTATCATACCGGGCCACTCCCTTGGATCACCAGCTGAAATCCCCAGCAGAACTGCTCACCAACAGAAAATTTAAAACTAGATTACCAGCATGCCATAGAGTCCTCCTCAACCACTCTCACCATGAGGTCATGAAAAGTAAGCTCATAGCCCGTCAGGAGAAACAAGCCCACTATTACAACCAGCATTCAGGACCACCCAAAAAGCCATTCGAAGCTGACCAACCCATCCGCACGTACAACCACCACTCACAAACCTGGGAACCTGGCATTATTGTAAAACCCGCCAAACAGCCAAGATCTTACATCATCAGATCCAGCAGTACAGGTACCACCTATCGAAGAACACGGGCCCAACTGAAACCAGACACAACTGCAGTGAGGGGAACACAATGCCAGCGGGTGAAACCCCAGTATACCAAGGTTCTGAGATACCTCAGCAGACAACTAGTCTTGCCCCAGTCAGTCACACACAGACATCGCACAAAAACGGTGCAGCCCCCAGACCAGGATCTGGCGAAACAGTGCCACTGAACAACATCCCCCAGGGACCCTCAGACATAGCTGGAGGATATGTGACCAGATCTGGGAGGACTGTGACACCTGCACAAAGGCTGGATCTATAACAGTAGAGACACTAAAGAATAGACTTATAAGTATAAGCACAGGAGGGATATCCTTTCAACCAGTATTGTAATGTTCTGGAGATATGATAAGTTCCATTTTTTTTTTTTGTCGTTATTATTATTATTACATCGGTAGAAAGGGGGATGTCATATTACGTCATACCACGCGCTCCCATCGGACCTGTGGGAAAAAACGTGGTATCGGACCCGCCATTTTGATTTCGCCCATGTTGTCATGTAGTAGCTGTTGCGTTATTGAATAAAGAGTTTAAATGGAAAAATTGTGACAGTAGTATCATCTGCTGTGAGCCCTTCGGTGTTTTCTGTGCTTTAAGGAGTAATTTGTAGCGTTTGTTCAGCTCTTTACGTATGGAAGAGTTCATCCAGGGTAGGCCCCCTCTTCTTATCTTTACTCGTCGAGCATGAAGGTGAGATTTCATAATGTCCTTGTATAAATACTCCCAAGCCCAAGTAGCATCGTCCAGATTGTGAAAGACATTGCAGATACTCCATGGGGCTGCAGCAAAGTCCGTTCTTAATGAGTCTAGATCTACTTTTTTATAATCGTAGACTGTTTTGAGCGTTGGTTTCTGACGTTTTCTTTTGAGATTTACGATTGCATATATTAAGTGGTGATCTGAGATTCCTAAATCACAAACACCCTGGTGAGAAATTTTGAGGTGTCAGAGCAAATCACCAAATCAATCAGCGTTGTGGAGGTGTCAGTGATCCTTGTTGCCTTGTTGATGACATTCTTTAGATTAAATCTATTCAAAAGTTGACGGAATTTCCAGGTTGAAGAATCTGTGTCCCTGGATTTAGGCAAAAGATTAAAATTGAAGTCCCCCAATAAAATTATATTCGTTCGTTTCATCCATATGCGATCCAAAGTAGAAGAAAATTTATTTAAAAACGTAGTGTCATCGGGTGGGCGATACATTGAAGCAACTAGAAGTTTCTGAGACGCCACCGTAACGTCAATCCACGCAGCTTCTAGAGAGTTGTTTACATTTATGTCTCGACGCTCATATGCATCTAAGTATTCAGCAAAGTAGATGACCGTGCCACCGCCTTTTCGACCATCGTTTCGATCGCATCGAGCAGTTTTGTATCCAGTAATGGCGATTTCGTCGTCAGTAATATCCTTACCTAGATGGGATTCAGTTATGGCTAAAATGTCAAAATTCATCGAAAGTAAAAGAGCTTTAATTTCCAATAACTTGTTAGGAAGACCATTTACATTGATGTGTGAGATCTTCAAACCTGGTAGTTGCAAGTCCGCTTTGAGTGATGGATAAAGATGCGAATCAGATGAGCAACCTAGTGTTGGTAGTTGCAGGTCCACTTCGAAAGATGGATAAAGATGCGAGTCAGATGAGCAATCTAGGTTTGTCTCATTGTCGAATGGTAAAGACGACCAAAGGCAAATCGGACACCACCAGGAAAATGAAGGAAGTCTTTGATAGTTCTTATATTCGCTTGGCCTGATCGAGGCACATTTTATGTGACACCACATGTTGCAGTTATCGCAATTTACCGCTCGATGATTTCGGGCAACACGCTTGTTACACACTGAACATTCATCTGGACCAGGATTTATGTCGATGTCCCCTCTTGTGTAGAGTCGCATTTGATGGAATGTTGAGTGCGAGTTCGCATAGTAACATATCCTGGTCGCATGAAAACCTCGCACATGCCACAACAGGCCAAGATGGCGGATCGTTTTCGTCTTCCGTTGATTGCAGAGGCTTGCGTATACTGATATGAGAAAACGCCTCGTCCACGAGAAATTCTTCGTGATGGAGATTTTGCTATTTTCTTGAAGAGAAGGCTGTCTTTCGGCGAATTTGGTGAGCGATAAGAATAGTATTGACGCGTAAAAGCAGGAGAAAATCAGAGCACGTCCTCGCGCCATTTCGCTAATAGTAATAGTTTAAAACCCGAAGAAAGGAACATCAACGAAATCTTAAAAACTATACGAGTGGCTCGAACATTGCCAACCATGCGTGGGAAAACAATCACGCGGTATGCAACCTCTCCCAACAATATCCATACACTATCCAACAAACAGGTAATGAGATTACTCAAACTTATCAGTTAGAAGTGGTTGACATGATATAACCCCAAATTCTTGTAACTTATTTACAAGGAAATGTCTAACAGCTAGATGGAATTACCGGGATGTGGTAATCCGTCAACAAACACGAACTCCAGCCGATTAAAGGAATACCTAGACTTAAATTTCAAAGCTCGTCAATTTTTGTATACTAAGATCACATTAGAAATCCTAATACAGCTGGAAAAAAAAGACGATTATGAGTTTAAATGACAATTAAATAACATTTTTAACTGCAACCGTAAGGGAATCGGTTTTAAGCATTGAATTTGCTTCGTTATGTTTTGTTTCGAACAAGGGAGAAGAGGTGAAACAAGAGAAAGACATTTTAGAAGTCAACGGCTGTTTTAGCAATCATATACCCTGTTTATTTGACACAAGCAGAAACACGTTGCTTTTCTGTCAATCATGCTGACAAGGATTTCCCCGCTTTAAGGGTGAAGGAAGGACAATTTGGAATGGACGGGACTAACGTCAGACGTATGGACTCGTTACTACAACAAAAATGAAGTAGACGAAAGAAAATACGACAAAGCCGGCAAAGTTTGGACGCAATCCTGTGGTGTGGATGGTCAAAATCTTTTTTTCTGATAGCCATCTGTGGTAAATAATAAAAAACTTTTGAGTTAAAAAAAAGCAACAAATCCGGCAACAAAGGAAAACAACAACATCTGACTTGAACTGTGTGTGTTTTCATTTCAAAAGTGATAATGGTTACTCCACTCGACGCGTCCGTCCAACATGTATAATATCTAGATTGGGTTTAGAATTGAACTGTTTCCCTAAAGGCAAAAAGTAGAATTGAGTCAACTGATAACACAAGGAGCCTGGGTTCACACAATGAGTCTCCATATATTCCGACCAAGAGCCGGACTAAAAACGAGCTAAACGGCTGAAAAGCAGTCTACAAACCCACACTATTATTGTAAGAAGTTTGTTTCTATTCAACACTCAAATATCTGGGTAAAGAATGCGACCGCTTATTATCACACAGATCCTTAGCACTTTTTCCAAGATAACAATTATTTTAGTGAAGACTACTCGTTGTTCGTGGTTGGGTAACCTGTGTTGACGATAATGTTGGTCAGTAATAAGTTAGTTTGTTGCACCTCTGTCCGTCCCAACCAAGTCCAGTATAAAGGAGGCAAGTTTTTAAAGAAAGTGTGGTGCTGCGTCGGTGGGAGAGTAACTCCAGCATCGCACGTGATAACGTGAAGTACAGAAGGTGCCAAAGCTAATTTCAGTTGGAGATTACAAAGTCCACTCCTATTGAATGAATCATTTTGAGTTTTTTTGGGAAAAAAAATGAAATAAATCTACTTTTGCGCGTAGAGTGGTATATTACTCGCACCAATCAGATCGCCGTATTTGGGTATGTATCAAGCTCGAATCAGATTTCCGCGTAAGGGTATGTATCTCACGCGAATTAGATTTTCGCATAAGGGTATGTATCTCGCACCAGTCATATCATAGCATTTGGATATCTTGCACCAATCACAGTGTTTAGTAATTCTTTTCTTGCAAATGGTGTCATGAAATCAGGGGGCTGTGCACAAAGAATGGCATCAAACAGAAATTTTGGGCTCATTTGATAAGTGTAACGATATTTATTTTTGCTTAGAAGTCTATAGACAATAGAGACAATAGACCCAAAATACCTGTGTGAGTTCAGATGAATTAAGTTCTTTTTTCCTTTTTCCGTAGTTTCGTCCGGTTGAAAGTTACACTATTTTTCTGTTATAAAAATGAAAACATTAGGTACACAAAGTGTCCCATCTCAACGTACCCGCCCAGCTGAAAAAATAACTCTTGCATGCTGCTAAAGTAAAGACCGGATATGTGATATGTTATCTTAACACTCTACGCAAAAGAAATTTGATCAGAGCGCTAGAGTCTGAAAAACCATCTTTATTACCGTAAAAGTATTTTCTAAGGCTATCCTCTACTTTGCTTATCCGCTATGTCCTCGATAATAACAACCTTGTTCAAAGCCACTCTCGGTTTGCTAGTCAACAAAGGTAGAGATAAGGCCGCGGAGATTCTGAAAGATGGCGATGTAACAGATCAAAGATTCCCTCCTTGATCGTCCGTGAAATAGACGACATCAAGTCGAAATTGGACGCGTTATCGAGGAAAGATTTAGAAGCGAGCATCAGTTTCTTTGAGGAAGGAATCGCGTTGTTGTATGAAGTGTTTGACATAGTAAAGTCTAGAAACGAGCGCGGTGCGGCAGCAGCACAAGCAGCTTGCGATGAAGCATTTTCTCTTGTTGAAGGAATCAGAAGGTTAGAGCTTACTGGCCTGGACGAGTCTGCCACAAGAAAGCTTTCCACTGCAAAGGAAAGATTCAAAGATGCTCGAAGGGAAGCAACGAGGGCCTATAAAAACGAAGGCCTCAAAACATCTGACCGCATTCTGGCCATGAAGTATCGAGTAATGGCAACGATATTGGAAACAGTAGACAATCCCGCTGATGCAGTGGCACCATGTGGAGTGTGTGTAAAGGAACTTAACAGTCTGTCAGCAGTACAGAATAGCCTTGACGTTCAGCTCAAGACAGGCATTCAGAAAGTGAGGGGTTTATTTGGTAAAGAGGAAAGAAGGGAAATAATTTACAATGTTTGTCATGTGAATCGTGTGATCTTTGATATCGCGCTCGCATTGGGGAGAGTTGACTTCAGCCCGAGTGTTGATATTGGAGAAAATAAAGTTATTCCATTGTGTGACGCGAGAGTAAAAGACGTGCTACTCAGCCATGGTAAAGAGTATTGTTGTGTTCCACCAAGGTCATTTGGTCAGGAGGGTAAAGAGGAACACAAGCTGAAGAACCCAAACGGTATCGCTACAAACTCCAGCGGAGAATTCATTGTAATAGACTTGCATCACGTGAAGGTGTTTGACAGCAGCGGCAAGTTTGTGAGACAGTCGAGTCTCTGTACCGTTAAAGAAAATTTTGCAGTAGCCACAGACATGAGCGACAACATCTTTGTGCTGGCCGAACCGTGGGTTTATAAACTTACTAAAACCGCTGACCTGCATCACAGGTTTCGTTTAAGGGGAGGGGGCGAGTACGATGGACTGTCAGTCAGTGGTAAAGGGACAGTGGTGACCTTGCTGGACCAGATAGCAGTGGAGGAATATGACACTGATGGAAAGTTTGTTCGCACTTTTGGACAAGAAATAATAAATTCAGCGTTGGATGTCACTGTTGCTAATGATGGCCTTGTTATGGTATTGGACCAATCAAACCACTGTCAGTTTGTTGACGTATTCAGTGAATCCGGCGACTATCTTCACAAGTTCAAACTGCAAAGACGTGACTGTCTTTACACAAGCATTGCATTTCACCGAGCAAGTGAACATGTCGTCGTCGCCGGTTTTCGAGTGGAAGAAGCCCTGCAGGTTGACATGTACAGTAAAGATGGTGAGTTTGTGTACCATGCACAAATCCCAATTGATGGTGGGATCAATATACCGGTAGTGACAGGGATTTCGGTGACAACCAAGGGACGCATTGCTTGTGTTACAGATGACAAGGTATTAATTTTTTGAAGAGGGGGGTGAAGGGGAGGTCTTGCTCACGTTTCACGCACATCAAGAAGTAGAATAACGCCTACGAAAAATTGTTTAGACGACTTTAAGATTCACGTTTCTCTAAAAGAAAAAAATTTACCGTTCACATGGTCTTAATTTCATATTTATTACAAGTCACAAAAATTAAAAACACTTGTTTAATCCTGCATTACGCAAAACCCCCTCTTACCCCCTCTTTAAACTGCTGGTTTTGATGGTTTCTTGTTTTTCCAAATTGTTCAATTATCTTTTTTGGCTGAAGTCATTTTTAAGAAATAGTTTCTTTCCATATTTCCTTTTTGACATTAAATTTCCAAAGTGTACCTAGCTTTTATGTAGATTTTTGATGATTGTATCAAGTGTTAGTTTTGATTGTGATAACTTTAATCACAGCAATGCATAATAAGTTTCATTCTTAGTATGTAAATGGACAGTCATATATTTTAAATATTTTAAAAGGGTGCACATGTCAATATTGCGTATTAGGGTTTCTTTTGGAAGGGAGGGCTGAGGAGGATTCACTGAACCTTGGGATGACATTGATTTTATTTCCTGATTTAACCCTTGGCTAGGTTGGTTGGTTTTGACTTAGCCTCTTGTTGCATTACAAGTTTGTTATTGTTTCATGTTTTATTATAGGCTCTTCAGCCTATTTCTTTATACATTGAAACTATTTTATTTTCAAATAGTGAAAGTTTTAGCCAAAATTAAGGAATTTTTTGCAAATTTCATTTACAACATCCTAATAAAAATTCTTGTGTTGTTACAAAAAACTTGTTTGATTTGTAAATCCCAAAACCTTGCTTGAGAGAGTTATTGGTTGGGTATCAAGTTGAAGATAAGCAACTAGCCAATACAAGTTTGTTCACTTAATTCATAGGGAAACCTTTTAATAGTTTCATTTCATGCAATGGATATATGGAGAGGAATAAAAGGAAATTGAAAAACTATGGTCATAGGAGAAAGAAATTTACAAAACCAGTAAATGTGGCCTGTCATTCCTGTCATTCCTGTTTATTCCTTTGGTAATGTGTTGAAAAAATTTTTACTCAAAACTTAAGATTTTTTTCCTGCCATTTTCAGGATGTTAATTGGTCATTGCACAACGGAGAATTTTTCTGATTACTGTGCATGTGCTGAATTTTCCAGCCAAATTTTTGCTTATGAAGTTTATTCTCCTGTTACTACCAGAACATCTTTCAAGAAGACTCTTCACTTTGCCTTTAGCAGCACCTATTTTTAGCTCTGTGTGATACTATAAGACTGTGATTATCATTCACTTACCAGGTGATCAATGTCACAAGTAAACAAGTTACTTTGTTAGTATTGTTAGTAGTCTGATTAGTATACTTATTTTATGGAAAATGCTGAACAACTTTTAAAAGAAATTTTTTTGAGTCAGTGCAGCTTAATATGCCCACTTCAATTATTGAACAGTTTCATTCCTAAGCAATATCACTTTCAATTGATTAATAGAGTTTATTAAACCTACATTGTAGCAACTTAATACCCACTGAGGTTAAGTGAAATTGAAATTCCTAAAGATTGGATTTGTTTATCATGATGTCTTTAGTATTCATTACAAAGCATCATTTTTGTATACAGTATAGCAATAGTAATGTTGTGCATTACAATTTTCCAAATGTGTTTTTTGTATCTACAGCTCTAAGCTGATTCAGTAGGTTTAATTAGAAGAATTATTGACTGAGTCACTTTTTTACAAAGTGTAACAATGCTTTAAAACTGTAATTAAAAATAATTTAGATGGGGTGAATTGGCTTGCAGCTATTTGGATTTGGATTTTATAACTCACTCATTGCCAATTTTATGCAATATTTTGTAGATTTGAAACAATTGACATGGATTCTATACTCAATATGTTTAATATAATTGTATAGTGTAGACAGGAGATAAGTCAGTAAGGTAAATTATTAAAAGGATTCATGAATAATTTCTTTTATTTTTATATAGTGTAACAATGCTTGAAAACTACAGACTATAATGTAGAGATGGTGGATAGGTTTGCAGATATTTGGATTTGGGTGTAAGAACTCACATGCTGCAGATATTTCAGAACACTTTGTTGATGGTCATTCCAATAGATTTTAAAGTTAAAACTGATCATGGATCACCTGTTTGTCAACATGGATTCCAGATTCAATCTGTTTTTTTAGTGTAAATTGACAAATGACACATTGTCGGTCTCCAGTTCACCTAAGTCTGTTTATTGATCTAATTTTGTGGACTTAATTTTTTTCAGTTTTCAGTATTTAGAGAAACTTGAAAACAACATGTAGACCCTGATAGCAAGGTAGTTCAGTTTGTAATTAGCCATAAGGCTACTTTTTTAAGTACCAAAATAGAAAGAGAACTTTGGTTAAAATCATATCACTGTAGAAGAAAAAGAGAGACACAAACACATTGGACACTTCTGGAAGTTTCACAGATCTGACTTTCATTTTTACTTGAAAATTAGGTAAACAGGTTGGGTAAAAAATATGACAGAGTGACTAAGACAGAATTACTCCTTACAATATCAATACCATATCGACCAGATAAGTGCATGATGAGAATAAAGAAATATATCAATCTGGGGATAATTGGTTGATCCAATACTAAATTCTCTGATTGAACATTGTAAGAACTGTATGGTTGACAGTAAGGAGAATTAGAAATTTGGTCTGGGAGTTAAAGTGTTAAGTATGTTTTGCATGAAAGTGTTAAAATGTATAACCAAATTTTGAAATAAATGTTACACGAGTGTGATTTTGATTAAATTCTGGTTGTGCTTTTTTTGTCCTGATTTGATGTTGTACTTTCTTCATGCATTTGTAATAGGTAAGGAGCTTACAAGAGAACTGCACAAAAACACTTGTGGGTCAGGCTTTCCCCTAGCAACTGTCATTGCTGTTTTTTTTATTTTACATTTTACCAACTCAGTAAAAATTTTTGCAACAACCAAATAGGCCTGAAAATAGTCTGGTTCCATTTGGAGATTAACTATGATACTGGAATCAAGCTCCCTGCTCAAAGAAACATTGGCCTATGGCGCAATGTCATGGACAATTATATCAATCACACGATGGGATTTTTTTCCGTCTCTGAAATGATATTTGACTACATTGTTGACCATGGTATGATTTACCATTGGAAGTGCTAATAAAACAAACACACTCCAAACTTTTGTTTTATAGTGCACTATAAGATCAGCAAAAGGCCAAGTTAAATATTAAGGTAACATCCTTTGTGTTTGGATATCAATTACTAGAGTGTTTGGAAAGACTTACTTAACATAAAGGAAAGTTTAGCCTTCAATGTTGAAGGTCATCATTTGCAGCTTTGTTTATCTTTGCCATCCTTAACCCTCTAACTCCCATGATCTGATTGTTAATTCTCCCCTCTAGCTGCTACACATTTCCTTTTAAATTAGTTTTTGAGAACTTGGTGCTGAATCAAGGTAGCAGCTTCTACCTGACAAGTTTCAATATTCTCATTACTTGTCTGCTGAATAATATACGGATATTAAAGGGAGAAGTTTCATGTGAATCACTTCTGGGAGTTAAAAGATTAACTTTTCACACTTTCCAGCACCTCACTCCCACAGCTCCCTGCAGCATGCTGACATCAATTTTTTTTTAATTGTTGTTACTTGTACAGTGTACCTTGCCAAACAGAAGGGCTGCCCATAGTTTACCTAAAAACAGTATGCATATTCTCCTCGCTGTAGTCTATACATTCCTGATGGAACTGACAAAAAGTTAGATATATCAGTTATATTTTTTTTTCCTCATTAATACGCAAAAGAGTACTCGGCTAATATCCAGCCATCTCGACTGAAACAAGCTAATGGCCAATAACGCATATATCAGTTACATCTATCAACGAGAAATGTCAATGGAATGCATGGGGCATCTTTTATTTAGTTTCTTTGGTAAGATTTCCGTATACCCCCATACTATTCTACATAAAAGCCGTAGTCACAGAGGTAATCTACGAGCTATTGTTACGCCACTGCCTTCTCTCATCCAATACTGTAAGCATAATGAATTATGGGGCTGTGCGGAAATCTCGCCGGATTTGACTTCATCGAAGTTGAGAGTTGATGGTGATGTTTCTTTTTTCTTTGGGACAGGTGATTCCGATCTCATTAGGACGAGTTTCGCGGCCTCCGCGATAAAGCATGGAGTCTCCATTTCCCGGAAATACTGTGACGTATGTTATTGTTGTACGTCATCTGTCGAAGCACGGGGAATCCCCCGGTGAAGAGTAACAGAAGGGAAGTTCTGATGTAAGGCAGAGGATGAAAGAAAATACTCTTGAGTCCCTCTTGAGTGGCAGAGTAGACAAATAGTATTCTCCATAAGCGTTTAACAGAGTTTCAAAATGTCCCTTTCTGAACTGAATTGTATTTAGCCGGGTTAATTGAAAAGGTAATAAGTTTTTCTCAACCACAGTGGGTTTCAATTGTATTTGCCCTTGTGTGAATGCCTTTGATAATTTTTTCGCTGTCACCAATGAATATCTTTTTCATCTTTCATCTTGGTAAAATTTGGAAAGAAGAGTCATTTCAAATTCCTAGCTACGGGCTTTGAAGGTATTTGAATTTCTCTTACAGTCCAGTGAGCATTCAAAAAGCCTGTGGTCTGCCAAACGAATAAAGGGGGTAAATTTCCAAAGAAACTGTAGTGCTGCGTCGGTGGGAGAGTATAATAAGGAAATTTAGTTTTATCAATTGAGTTAAAAAGGTTAATTGGCTACCGTAAAAAGTTTAAACAGTCCAGTAGCAGAGACTGGAAAATCAAGGTTTCGTTCAATCCACGAGCTAGAAAAGGTTTGACAATGGATTTTATCAGACCAATACCTCCTGAGTAAGGCTCGTTACGCCGTAAAGTCGAAAAGTGGTATACGATCCGAGAGAAAGGAGGGGTTTTTGCTACGTCATCCCTTCGTCGGTGTGAAAACGAGGTTGTAGAGTGGATGACATTTGTTTCCTCATTTTTTTTTTTTACACCCTTATCAATATTGGCCGTCCAAATACCTAGGTAGTTCAAAACACTTGCTTCATTGGTTTAATTTTACTTTAAAGTGACGTCACGTGACTTATCATGTGACAAGAAAAATCCTAAAGAAACCCTTGGAAATATTAAAAAATCTTTGTCTTTTTATAAACAAGTATTAAATTTTATTCTTGACCGCTTTTGTCAAACCTTTTTATCATTTGGCTGTCCAAAACGTTCACTTCACCATTTATAGGTATTTTGTTCTTTGTTTAATGATCGAAGATCAATGCTTTGTCGATTAAATGACAAAACATGCAAACGAGGCAGATGCTCTAAGCTGTTTATCCTCTGCTTCTAGTTCAAGATGATAGTTTTAAAGTTTTCAGACTGTCCTTACAGCGAATCTTTGAAGCACTAACATCAAGTCATTAGCATTGCGCTGAATATTATTCGTTGCTCAAGTAATAGTCGTATCAAGCTTCCAAAGCACATAGGCCTTGCACCATGTGTATACCATCTCACCTCATCGCGTCTCCTTATAACACTCCTCAACAAAATGGGACACTGTTGCAGTTGTGACAAACCGCGTGTGACAGACACTAGTATCGCAGCGGAATTACTTGCTGAAGCGGACGAGTATGGCACTGTCGCACCGAAAACAAAGCCTGGCCCCGATTGCTCGAAAGTTGGATAACGCTATCCACTGGATAAAACTCTATACGGTGGATACTCTTATCCATCGGAGAGCAATTTATCCGTTGGATAGCGTTATCCGACCTTTACTAGTACAACTGGGCCCTGGTCCGTTTCTTTTACTAGCGGCAGACAACACAAATGTCAATGAAGAATCCCTCGATGGAAAAAACAACTCATGTGACATCCATGGTTGTATTTCAGAGACGGCCGAATATATGAACCAGAACCACCTCCGGTCTAACTGGCAAACCACAATGACGGGAAACTATCCCTACAGGCAAGGGGAAGGATTTACGAGCTAAAAGAGTGCTCTGCATTTAGGAGACGACCTCAAGTCACTTTTTATACTGGTCAGGTTAAACAAGAGTAGTTTAAAGAAGAAAATGAGCTGTTTGAGTCAGGAAGTTGCGCTGATGAAGTACGAAAGGTCATTCAAATGCATCCCTCAGGTCTAATGGAATCACTATCTCGGGAGGTAATCACGAGTCAGTCAGTTCCTGGGTGGAGTGCTAGCTGCCCCCTAACAGATGGCTCTTCAACGGAGTTCAGTACAATATATACCGTTCTCAAGGACGCTCAAGCCACCAGTAATACCATGGGTCAGGAAGATACACTGAGTAATAGCCTTTGATCTTGCTATGTGTGTGAAGGCCAAGCAAATACAGTGGAGGCTTGCAAACAAGTTTTCCGATGTTGTGATTCGAATGGGTACGTTTCATATCGCATTGAACTTCTTGGTGATTATTGGCAAAAAGTACCTAAACTCAGGCCTTGAAGATCTGCTGATCGAGAACCGTACTCACAGTCCTCTGCCAGCCTGTATAAATCTTGAATGAAGGCATCCACCGACTCACCAAGTAACTGGTGTCGTTTGTCAAACGAGATCTTTGTATTATCAAATTGCGGCGAACATCGAAATAACTATTGAAAGCAGTGCGAACTTCTTCATATGTAGCTTTTTTTTTCGTCGATTCAGAGTGGCTAGAATGTCATACTGTCGTACTCGCAAGGAGTGGAAGCTGACTTGGCTGTTGCGGATTAATTTCGTTTTCTTGTGCTTCAGAAGGCAACCCTGAGGTTTTTTTTGTGTGTGATACTGCTGCAGTGTCGAGCATTTTAAGGGTTAAGGACCGCTGCCACCATGTATGATTTAAGACTAGTTGAACAACAACACCTTTATTGAAGATGGCGACCCGTGTAAGTTCTAGCGTGCAACACGCAAGGTTAATGTGATTGACAACGGTAGAGATTGGCATAACCCTACAACCACCACCACAAGGTAACGGTTGGCACCTAGAAGGTAAAATGTTGAAACTTGTCCTGATGACCAGAGACCCAACACCAAGAAGTCTGCTTGAACTAACCACATGGCAATGTAGAAGATCTATGTGCCATGCAAGTTGTTCCTGTTCTGGTATTGGCCTTCCCTGTAGAGAGTCCTGTTTGTGCACAGCAGATGAAGAAGTCTGCCAGAACCCTCATCGCACGCCGCTTCATTTTGATAGTGACTCTGAAGATAGTGACAAGGACTAGGTATATAGCTAGGCACCTCTTTAACCACATAAATAGTTAATTACTCTGGAAAACCCTAACGTACAATTTTTAACAGTATGATGTACACAATTTGAGATGCACTGTTTCTTACAAATTGGGTAAAAAATCGATCAGTAGCTCTTTAGAAGTAGTTTTGCAAAATTGAAACTGTTTGTTACTGTCGATTATAAACATAGGGAACATCTTGAAAAAAAATGAATGTCAGCTCTTCAAGGATTCACTGTAGTGATAGTCTGAAACTTTAAAACTATCATCTTTAACGAGAAGCAGAGGATAAACAATTCAGAGCATCAGCCTCGTGTTCATGTTTTGTCATTTAATCGACAAAGCATTAATCTTCGATCATTAAAAAAAGAAAAAAATACCTGTAAATGGTGAAGTGAAGGTTTTGGACAGCCAAATGATAAAAGGTTTGTGATAAGAGAGGCTGAGCATCAAATTTCATACTTGTTTATAAAAAGACAAGGATTTTTTTATATTTTCAAGGGTTTCTCTGAGATTCTTCTTGTCACGTGATAAGTCACGTGACGTTGCCAGATGGTGAAATTAAACTACGAAGGAAGTATTTTGAACTAGCTGAGTATTTGGACCGCTTATGCTGATAAGGGTGTTGAAAAAAAATTAGTAAAAAAACGTCATGCACTCTACAACCTCGTTTTCACGCCGGCGAAGGGATGACGTAGCAAAAACCTCTTCTTTCTCTCGGATCGTACACCACTTTTCGACTTAACGACATAGTGAGCCTTACTAAGGAGGTATTGGCCTGATAAAATCCACTGTCAAACCTTTTCTAGCTCGTGGGTTGAACGAAACCCCGATTTTCCGGTCTTTGCTACCTGACTATTACAAACAAAGTAAGAGTTCAACAAGCGTATCAAATAAATGACGTCACGCGGCCTCAAACCCTTCGTTGTCTTCAGTGCCATTACCGTAAAAATAGTTTCCGGGTGCTACCTGTACTTCGCTTATCCGCAATGTCCTCCATAGCAACAGCCTTGTTCAAAGTCACTATCGGTTTGCTAGTCAACAAAGGTAGAGATAAGGCCGCAGAGATTCTGAAAGATGGCGATGTAACAGATCAAAGATTCCACTCCTTGATCGTTCGTGAAATAGACGACATCAAGTCAAAGTTGGACGCGTTATCGAGAAAAGATTTAGAAGCGAGTATCAGTTTCTTTGAGGAAGGAATCGCGTTGTTGTATGAAGTGTTTGACACAGTAAAGTCTAGAAACGAGTGTGGTGCGGCAACAGCACAAGCAGCTTGCGATGAAGCATCTTCTCTTGTTGAAGGAATCACAAGGTTAGAGCTTACTGGCCTGGGCGAGTCTGCTACAAGAAAGCTTTCCACTGCAAAGGAAAGATTCAAAGATGCTCGAAGAAAAGCAACAGAAGCTTTTAAAAACGAAGCCCTTAAAACATCTGACCGCATTCTGGCCATGAAGTATCGAGTAATGGCAACGATATTGGAAACAGTAGACAATCCCGCTGATGCAGTGGCACCATGTGGAGTGTGTGTAAAGGAACTTAACAGTCTGTCAGCAGTACAGAATAGCTTTGACGTTCAGCTCAAGACAGGCATTCAAGTGAGGGGTTTATTTGGTAAAGAGGAAAGAAGGGAAATAATTGTCAATGTTTGTCATGTGAATCGCGTGATCTTTGATATTGCGCTTGCATTGGGGAGACTTGACTTCTGCCCAAGTGTTGATATTGGAGAAAATAGAGTTATTCCATTGTGTGACGTGAGGGTAAGAGACGTGTTACTCAAACACGATAAAGGGTATTGTTGTCTTCCACTACGGTTATTAGGTCAGGAGGGTGAGGAGGAACACAAGCTGAAGGACCCGAGGGGTATCGCTACAAACTCCAGCGGACAATTTATTGTAATAGACTTGCATTACGTGAAGGTGTTTGACAACAGCGGCAAGTTTGTGAAACAATCGAGTCTCTCTACCGATGAAGTAAATAAAACATTTGCTCGTGAAGTTGCCACAGACATGAGCGACAACATCTTCGTGCTAACCAAACTGGAGAAGCCTGGGAGTGAGTTATCTTATTGGGTTTATAAACTTTCTAAAACCGCTGACCTGCATCACAAGTTTCGTCTGAGGGCAGAGGGCTGGTACAGCGGACTGTCAGTAAGTGATAAAGGGAATGTGGTGACCTTGCGGGACTATGATGTAGTGGAGGAATATAACACTGATGGAGAGTTTGTTCGCAGTTTTGGACAAGGAATAATAAGGCTTGCGTTTGCTGTCATAGTTACTAATGATGGCCGTGCTATGGTAGCAGATCACGACCACTGCGTTCACATATTCGGTGAATCCGGCGACTATCTTGACAAGTTCAAACTGCAACGAATTGACTATGACTACATAAGCATTACATTTCACCGAGCAGGTGAACAAGTCGTCGTCGCTGGTTGTCGAGTGGGTAAACCCCTGCAGGTTGAAATATATAGTAAAGATGGTGAGTTTGTGTACTGTGCAGAAATCGCAATTGATAGTGAGATCCTTCCTATGAAAGGGATGACGATGACAACCAAGGGACGTATTGCTTGTGTTGGGGATGACAAGGTATTCATTTTTTGAAGAGGGTTGTAAAGGGGAGGTCCAAAAAGAAGAAAAATTTGATAAACAACGTTAAGATTCACATTTCTTTAAAAGAAAAAATTCACAGTTCACGTGGTCTTAATTTCATATTGTTGAAAGTCATGAAAAGTAAAAAGTCACTTGTTTAATCCTGCATCATCCAAAAGCCTCTCTTTGAACTGCTGGTTTTGATGGTTTCTTGTTTTTCTAAATTGTTCAGTTATCTTTTTTGGCTGAACTCATTCGTAAGAAGTAGTTTATTTCCATATTTCCTTTTTGTCATTGAATTTCCAAAGTGTACGTAGCTTTTATGAAGATTTTGAAAGATTATATGAAGTGTTAGTTTTGATTGTGATGACTTTAATGACAGAACATTTAGTTTCCTTCTTAGTATGTAAATGAACAGTCAACCTCTTGTTAACCTCTTGTTGCATTACAAGTTTGTTATTGTTTCATATTTTATTATAGGCTGTTTAGCCTCTCTCTTTATACATTGAAGTTACTTTATTTTCAAATAGTGAAAGTTTTAGCCAAAATTTAATGCATTTTATTGCAAATTGTAGTTAGAAATTTCTATAAAAATTATTGTGTTGTTACAAAAAACTTGTTTGATTTGTAAAATACCAAAACTTGAGAGAGTTTTTGGTCGGGTATCAAGCTGAACATAATCAACTAGCCAATACAAACTTGTTCACTTAATTCATAGGGAAACCCTTTCATAGTTTCATTTCATGCAATGGATTTATTGAAAGGAATGATAGAAAATTGAAGAAGTATGGTTTAGCAGAAAAAATTTAAAAAACCATTTCAGTTAATGTGGCCTGTCATTCCTGTTTATTCCTTTGGTAATGTATTAAAACAATTTTTACTCAAATCCTAAGATTTTTACCCTGCCATTTTTAGGATGTTTATTATTCATTGCACAATAGAGAATCATCTAGTTACTGTGCATGTGCAAAATTTCCAAGTCAAATTTCAATTTTCTGAGCTATTCTTTCCTGTTCCAGAACATATTTCAAGAAGACTCTTCACTTTGCCTTTAGCAGCACCTATTTTGAGCTCTGTGTGATACTGTAAGACTGTGATTATCATTCACTTATAAGGCAATCAATGTCACAAGTAAACAAGTTACTTTGTTAGTATTATTAGTAGTCTGATTAGTATACTTATTTTATGGAAAATGCTGAACAACTTTTAACCCCTTAAATCCCACAATCTGATAGTAAATTCTCCTCTCTTGCCCCCACACATTTCCCTGTAAATAGGTTAGGAGAATTTGGTGTTAGATCAAGATAACTTCTTCTTGATAAGTTTGAGTATTCTGATGACCTGTTTGCTGTCAGATAATGTTTAGATATTATAGGGAGAAGTTACTTGTTAATCACTTTGGGAGTTAAAGGGTTAACAGAAATTATTTGGATTTCAGTGCGGCTTAATATGCCCACTTCAATTATTGAACAGTTTCATTCCTAAGCAATATCACTTTCAATTGATTAATAGAGTCTATTAAACCTACATTGTGGCAACTTAATACTCACTGAGGTTTAGTTAAATTGAAATTCCTAAAGATTGGATTTGTTTATCATGATGTCTTTAGTATTCCTTACAAAGCATTATTTTTGTACACAATGTGGCAATAGCATTGTTGTGCATTACAATTTTCCTAATATGTTTTTTGTATCTACAGCTCTAAGCTGATTCAGTAGGTTTAATTAGAAGAGTTATTGAGTTACTTTTTTACTACTAACAATGCTTTAAAACTGTAAAGTAACTTAGAGGGGGTGAATTGGTTTGCAGATATTTGGATTTAGGTTTTATAACTTACTCATTGCCAATTTTATGCAATATTTTGTAGATTTGAAATACTTGCTTTGAATTCTAGACTCAATGCATTTGATAATGTGGAGTGTGGATAGGAGATAAGTCAGTAAGGTAAATTATCAAAAGGATTCATGAATAATTTATTTTACTTTTATTATTCAGTAGAACAATGCTTGAAAACTACAGACTATAATGTAGAGGGGATGGATAGGTTTGGATATATTTGGGTGTAAGAACTTACATGCTGCAGATTTTTTCAGAACACTGTGTTGGTGGTCATTCCAACCGATTTAAAGATAACATTGATCATGGATCACCTATTTGTCAGCATGGATTCCAGATTCAATTTGTTTTTTAATGTAGATTGATCAATGACACACTGTTGGTCTCTGGTACACATAAGTCTGTTTATTGATCTAATTTTTTTGTTGACTTAATTTTTTCAGTTTTCATTATTCAGGGAAACTTGAAAAAAACATTGTCAATTTATAGACCCTGACAGCAGAGTAGTTCAGTTTGTAATTTGCATCACCTCTATTTTAACTACCATTTACTCACTTAAAAATTGTTCAGTTTATGGAAGATCTTGCCGTATTTACGGCCATAAGTCATTTGGGTTCTTTCAGAAAGAATTTCGTCAAGTTTAAAAAACAATAAATATGTTATTTACCGGCTAAGGGTCGGTCCGTATGCCTACGGCCTTGGGCAGTATTTTCAAGACCTCAGTCACAGTTTTTCACCATACGGACCTCCCAGCCGGCAAATAACATATATATATATATATATATCAATTTGGGGATAATTTTTTGATCCAATACTTAGTTCTCTGAATTAATATTATAAAAACTGTATGGTTGACAGTAAGGAGAATTACAAATTTGGTCTGGGAGTTTAAGGGTTAAGTTTGTTTTCTATTAAAGTGTTAAAATGTATAACCACATTTTGAAATAAATATTGCACATGTCTGATTTTGATTAAGTTCTGGTTGTGCTTTTTTTTTTGTCCTGATTGTGTTTTACTTTCTTCGTGCATTTGTGGAAATTTTTATCCTCAGTGATGGATGATAATAGTAAGGAATATACAATAGAACTGCACAAAAAGTAGTTGTGCAAAAACTTATGGGTCAGGCTTTCCCCCTAACAACTGTCACTGCTGTTTTTTTATTTTACCAACTCAGTAAAAATGTTTGCAACAACCAAATAGGCCTGAAAATACACTGGTTTCATTTGGAGATTAACTATGATACTGGAATCAAGCACCCTGCTTGAGAAAACATTGGCCTATGGTGCTGTATCATGGACAAATATATCAATCTCACAATGGGATTTTTTTTGTCCCTCAAATAATATTTGACTACATTTTTGACCATGGCTGGTATGATTTGCCATTGGATGTGCTAATAAAACAAACACACTCCAAACTTTTGTTTTATAGTGCACTATAAGATCTGCAAAAGGCCAAGTTTAATATTAAGGTAACATCCTTTGTGTTCGGACATCAATAACAATGTTTGGAAAGACTTACTTAATATAAAGGAAAGCTTAGCCTTCAATGTTGAAGGTCATCATTTGCAGCTGTGTTTATCTTTGCCATCCTTAACCCTCTAACTCCCATGATCTGATTGTTAATTCTCCCCTCTAGCTGCCACACATTTCCTTGTAAATTAGTTTTTGAGAACTTGGTGCTGAATCAAGATAGCAGCTTTTACCTGATAAGTTTCAATATTCTTGTTACTTGTTTGCTGAATAATATACAGATATTAAAGGGAAAGTTTCCTGTTAATCACTTCTGACAGTTAAAGAGTTAACTTTTCACACTTTGCAGCACCTCACTCCCACAGCTCCCTGCAGCATGCAGACATCAATTTTTTTTCACTATTTTTTTTAATGGTGCAGTGTACCTTGCCAAACAGAAGGGTGGCCCATAGTCTACCTAAAAATAGTATGCATATTCTCCCAACTGTAGTCTATACATTCCTGATGGTACTGACAAGGAGAATATACACAATGATCAACAGCTTCATTAATTAGATATCATTTCTTACATTCTTATGACCTTACTGTTTAATTTCATCATGATTCTGTTGAGAAAAATTAGGTCAATACTCTCAAGAGTTAATCTTTTTGGCTATATCGATATATTTACCTCTTTTATAGTGTTTTTCTCATCTAGCAAACAATTTTTTCATGCTCTTACTCTATGATGAGGAAAAACAAAAGGGTACTAAAAATAACAAAATTATCACCATGCATAACTGTATGGTAATGCGCCTTTCATCTTGAAAGCTTTAACTTTCGCCCCTTGGAAAATCCATAGACGTTTCGCAGTTTTTTGTTCCCCAGGGGGTGGGAAACTTAAACCAGAAGTGTCAAGTGTTTCCAGTGGAACTCCCTATACAAGAATTATATCTCTAACCCTCTACATGCAAACATCAGTACCCATAATCTCCATACTGGTCTTAATACATTTCCTAATGTGCTGGCAAGGAGAATTTGTTTAATAATCAATTGGTTCTTCTGTTAATTATCATTTCCTCTATTCTCACAACCTTGATGTTTGATTCATGGGTGAAATTGAAAGGAGAAATTAGATGCTGGTCACTCAGGCATTAAAGGGTTAAATATAGAGGTATTTAAGATAAACAGTTCACTTTCATGAGTGAATGGCTCAACAAAAGGACTACAAGGTCTAGGTTATGCAGAAAGTCCAAGGTCCCTGATTTTGCCTTCTACAAAAATATTGATAAGGGCATTTTTGACCACAATTTTTTCCTTGGTGTGTGTGGGAATTTCAACAAACTTAGTTACAAAAGTTCAAATGTCCAGAGTGGAGGGGTGTCCAGTCCATGAAGGGGGGGGGAGTGGGAAATAAGCTGGAAGGAGGGTGTTGAAGCTTTGAATTGTTTGAAGCATAAGTACAGGCATACATTGGCCACAACATGAAAAAAATCTCATTGTCTATGCAAGTGAAGCTCGACCTACATTTTCAACAGTTACGCAGGCTGATATGGAAAAAGAAAAGACTTCAAAGTAACCTGGTCAAATTAATGTAGAGTCCTTTAGAGAAAAAGCTTTTCTTTGTGGTCATATTCCAAATAAAGTGAGTTTATTGACCTGGCGCACATCAGTTCTGATTCTCTCGTAAGCTTTGTCAACTGAGTCAGACAGTAGGTCCAGTTGTTGGAGTTGTCTATCTTGTTCCTCTTGTATGCCTAGAGCTAGAGACCTCATGTCTTGTAAGACTTGGCCCATTTCTGCGGCCTCAGCATCAGTAACTGTCTTGGAGTTTTTTTCCCTGGTTGGAACTCCAATGGAGTCTTCCTCACACTTTTCACCTTCTGAGAAACAAATTAGTTTGTTTATAAAACTTGTAAAAAAAAAGGGATTTGACAATTTCACTGTTTCACATTTATCTATTTGATCAAGTTTGTAAACACACTAACTGGTCCTGATCTGGCCTTGGGTTGTAGGACAAAGAGGACATAACTGGAAAATAAATTCTCCAGATGAGAGATGAACTCCTCTAATTAGGAGCAACTTTTACGCAGTAGCTGGGCTAGTGAATTGAAATCCAAGATAGAGGACTAACAGAAACCTTATCAACAGTGACTTAAGGGTGAAAGAATTATTACACATCACACACAAGATGAGGGGATCTACAAGTACATGTAGATCAAATATTCAATGTGCTGGAGAAAGTGGCCCCAAGCTGTTGCAAAAGAGAAATATGCTGAGCCCTTTGTTATCATCAACAGTTTGAATCATTCTAAGACTGTGGATGTATTTTCTTATATTAAAAAAAATTTTGGAAAAAAAAAAATTGTAGAGTAAATTGCTGTATGATTGCCATGGTCTTCTTTGCAGTTGGTGGCAAATATAACAATTTCATGTCAGCTGTGTCTCTTTCTACATTGCCGAAATGATTCATTCTTACATCTAACATAAAAAAACGATCAGGTCTTTTAAGGCAGAACTTCATATTTCTCTGACGAGTCTAATCACCTCCAAAGCAAAAATCAGGGTCTCCAATTGCTCCTTTGAGTAACACACACCTAAGTTCGTTGACCAGTAATTTTCCCGACAGGAGAGCCCAGAACACAGCAAAGTTGCATGTAATACTCCCTTGAAGCCAAAAGCTTTATTGATCTGGTTTCAACCTGGCTGATGAGGAGTCTAGCAAGTCATACCCACTTTTTAGTTAACACATCTACCGACACTGTTGACAGGAGAAGTAAGGGTTTGAGAGTACTTTACACTGTTTCATGACTGTACATACCTTGCAGAGAAAACTTCTCTGAATCTGGATCATGACTATCTGGATCACCAGCATCATCAGGAGGTTCATCATAATTAATTTTTCCCGGCAAAAGAACCTCAAGAGTTTGCAGAATATGAACCAAGAGAGCTGCTTATTGTCATCTTCACAGCAAAGGAAATATCAAGACTTCTTCCGGCATCAAAAATCTTCAGTGATTTCTTTGACAGCACTAAAGTGCCAGGAAAATGTTTCTCTTTAGAGGTCCTTGCATACACCACAGAATATTCAGCCTTTTCTATAAGTATGCTGTCCTCTGGGACATCTATATGTACTTGATGAGTTTCCAGATTCCACTTGCTAAGCCATGCATCCAGATTGTAAATTAAAGTTCATTATGAATCTTGTTCATGTCTGCACAGGCAGAGTCGATTTGTTGTCCCTGTTTCTGCATAGTCCTACCAGTTGATGACAAAGTGCTTCGAGCATCATGTAAGATATTGAGGAGTTTTGAATCGCGAGGTGCATCACTGGTAGCGCTACAGCAAGAAAGGACATATGTAACAAACATATGTTGCTTGCACTATATAAACATGATTGAGTAATTTATTATTGCAGAGATGCCAACCTCTGGAGATCACAAATCTGGAGGTATTTTTTTGGACCAGTACCCTGACCCACCCGACCAAATTTGCCCCCCTACCCAGATTTGGACCCCCTACCCAGCTCCCCCACCCCACCCGAGCAGTCTGTCAGTGACTTCAATTGGTTTTAATACTCATCCAATCAAACTCTTGCTTAAATAGGAGTAACAAAGAAACAACTCTCTTCTTTTTGTTTACAACAACGTGCATCACGCAAGAAAATGAAGCTAGAAACCATTATACAAGCATAAGAAGCCAGATGATTTTGGAATTTTGGAACATATGGTGCTTAAATCTTAGTTATTTGTGGGCAACTGATCAAAACTTCCTCTTATCCAGGAGTTTTGGTCACCCGCACTGGAGAGCAGGAGATTGGCTCTGTATCCGGGAGACTTCCGGATAATCCTGGAGAGTTGGCGTATACGTTATTGATATTTACATTTATCCTTAACTCCTTATACCCTAAGTATGACCAGCTTCAAACTTCTGCTTAAAGTTATAACGCTGAATCACTGGCTATTAAAGTTCATGAGAAGAAAAGAAATGATCGCCAACCGAGGAAGCTTTGATTGTTCAGTCAATTCTCCTTGTCAATTCCAGAGGGAAAGTATAGAGAAGAGTAAGGAGAATAAGAATACTGATGTTAGGATGTAAAAAGGTTAAAAGACAACTGTCCGTCAATAACAACCATGGCCATACAACAACCATTTTATGGGAGCTAATTATTCTTTAGTTGTACCTTTTTTTCTAAGTTTTCTAGGAAATGCCCCGATGAGCTGGCTTCTCCGAGAACTGAGAGAGGTGATCGCCGATTAAAGGACGGATAACTCCAGATGAAATAACAAATACTTTCTTTATGATTCAAATGTAAACACGCCACGATGCAAAAACCGACCAACCATAATTCGTAGCGAACCTTAACCCGAGTTCGAACGATAAATTAGTGCCAATTGATATCAAAATGAGCTTAATTATGGGAATGAGAGTCAGCAAGACTCAATATCTTCTAATTTATTGACACAAAAAAACACTTAAAGTCTGTTTCCCTTGCAGATCGTTTCACTCATGGTGGGACCGTTGGTCGCCGTATTGGATGATTATAACAAAGGGAAGGAGCCAGCCTATTTATAGCGCGCCTTCATGTTTAACCCTGTAACTCCCAGAAGTGATTTACATGCAACCTCTCCCAACAATATCCATACACTATCCAACAAACAGGTAATGAGATTACTCAAACTTATCAGTTAGAAGTGGTTGACATGATATAACCCCAAATTCTTGTAACTTATTTACAAGGAAATGTCTAACAGCTAGATGGAATTACCGGGATGTGGTAATCCGTCAACAAACACGAACTCCAGCCGATTAAAGGAATACCTAGACTTAAATTTCAAAGCTCGTCAATTTTTGTATACTAAGATCACATTAGAAATCCTAATACAGCTGGAAAAAAAAGACGATTATGAGTTTAAATGACAATTAAATAACATTTTTAACTGCAACCGTAAGGGAATCGGTTTTAAGCATTGAATTTGCTTCGTTATGTTTTGTTTCGAACAAGGGAGAAGAGGTGAAACAAGAGAAAGACATTTTAGAAGTCAACGGCTGTTTTAGCAATCATATACCCTGTTTATTTGACACAAGCAGAAACACGTTGCTTTTCTGTCAATCATGCTGACAAGGATTTCCCCGCTTTAAGGGTGAAGGAAGGACAATTTGGAATGGACGGGACTAACGTCAGACGTATGGACTCGTTACTACAACAAAAATGAAGTAGACGAAAGAAAATACGACAAAGCCGGCAAAGTTTGGACGTAATCCTGTGGTGTGGATGATCAAAATCTTTTTTTCTGATAGCCATCTGTGGTAAACAATAAAAAACTTTTGAGTTAAAAAAAAAGCAACAAATCCAGCAACAAAGGAAAACAACAACATCTAACTTGAACTGTGTGTGTTTTCATTTCAAAAGTGATAATGGTTACTCCACTCGACGCGTCCGTCCAACATGTATAATATCTAGATTGGGTTTAGAATTGAACTGTTTCCCTAAAGGCAAAAAGTAGAATTGAGTCAACTGACAACACAAGGAGCCTGGGTTCACACAATGAGTCTCCATATATTCCGACCAAGAGCCGGACTAAAAACGAGCTAAACGGCTGAAAAGCAGTCTACAAACCCACACTATTATTGTAAGAAGTTTGTTTCTATTCAACACTCAAATATCTGGGTAAAGAATGCGACCGCTTATTATCACACAGATCCTTAGCACTTTTTCCAAGATAACAATTATTTTAGTGAAGACTACTCGTTGTTCGTGGTTGGGTAACCTGTGTTGACGATAATGTTGGTCAGTAATAAGTTAGTTTGTTGCACCTCTGTCCGTCCCAACCAAGTCCAGTATAAAGGAGGCAAGTTTTTAAAGAAAGTGTGGTGCTGCGTCGGTGGGAGAGTAACTACAGCATCGCACGTGATAACGTGAAGTACAGAAGGTGCCAAAGCTAATTTCAGTTGGAGATTACAAAGTCCACTCCTATTGAATGAATCATTTTGAGTTTTTTTGGGAAAAAAAAATGAAATAAATCTACTTTTGCGCGTAGAGTGGTATATTACTCGCACCAATCAGATCGCCGTATTTGGGTATGTATCTAGCTCGAATCAGATTTCCGCGTAAGGGTATGTATCTCACGCGAATTAGATTTTCGCATAAGGGTATGTATCTCGCACCAGTCATATCATAGCATTTGGATATCTTGCACCAATCACAGTGTTTAGTAATTCTTTTCTTGCAAATGGTGTCATGAAATCAGGGGGCTGTGCACAAAAAATGGCATCAAACAGAAATTTTGGGCTCATTTGATAAGTGTAACGATATTTATTTTTGCTTAGAAGTCTATAGACAATAGAGACAATAGACCACAAAATACCTGTGTGAGTTCAGATGAATTAAGTTCTTTTTTCCTTTTTCCGTAGTTTCGTCCGGTTGAAAGTTATACTATTTTTCTGTTATAAAAATGAAAACATTAGGTACACAAAGTGTCCCATCTCAACGTACCCGCCCAGCCGAAAAAATAACTCTTGCATGTTGCTAAAGTAAAGACCGGATATGTGATATGTTATCTTAACACTCTACGCAAAAGAAATTTGATCAGAGCGCTAGAGTCTGAAAAACCATCTTTATTACCGTAAAAGTATTTTCTAAGGCTATCCTCTACTTTGCTTATCCGCTATGTCCTCGATAATAACAACCTTGTTCAAAGCCACTCTCGGTTTGCTAGTCAACAAAGGTAGAGATAAGGCCGCGGAGATTCTGAAAGATGGCGATGTAACAGATCAAAGATTCCACTCCTTGATCGTCCGTGAAATAGACGACATCAAGTCGAAATTGGACGCGTTATCGAGGAAAGATTTAGAAGCGAGCATCAGTTTCTTTGAGGAAGGAATCGCGTTGTTGTATGAAGTGTTTGACATAGTAAAGTCTAGAAACGAGCGCGGTGCGGCAGCAGCACAAGCAGCTTGCGATGAAGCATTTTCTCTTGTTGAAGGAATCAGAAGGTTAGAGCTTACTGGCCTGGACGAGTCTGCCACAAGAAAGCTTTCCACTGCAAAGGAAAGATTCAAAGATGCTCGAAGGGAAGCAACGAGGGCCTATAAAAACGAAGGCCTCAAAACATCTGACCGCATTCTGGCCATGAAGTATCGAGTAATGGCAACGATATTGGAAACAGTAGACAATCCCGCTGATGCAGTGGCACCATGTGGAGTGTGTGTAAAGGAACTTAACAGTCTGTCAGCAGTACAGAATAGCCTTGACGTTCAGCTCAAGACAGGCATTCAGAAAGTGAGGGGTTTATTTGGTAAAGAGGAAAGAAGGGAAATAATTTACAATGTTTGTCATGTGAATCGTGTGATCTTTGATATCGCGCTCGCATTGGGGAGAGTTGACTTCAGCCCGAGTGTTGATATTGGAGAAAATAAAGTTATTCCATTGTGTGACGCGAGAGTAAAAGACGTGCTACTCAGCCATGGTAAAGAGTATTGTTGTGTTCCACCAAGGTCATTTGGTCAGGAGGGTAAAGAGGAACACAAGCTGAAGAACCCAAACGGTATCGCTACAAACTCCAGCGGAGAATTCATTGTAATAGACTTGCATCACGTGAAGGTGTTTGACAGCAGCGGCAAGTTTGTGAAACAGTCGAGTCTCTGTACCGTTAAAGAAAATTTTGCAGTAGCCACAGACATGAGCGACAATATCTTTGTGCTGGCCGAACCGTGGGTTTATAAACTTACTAAAACCGCTGACCTACATCACAGGTTTCGTTTAAGGGGAGGGGGCGAGTACGATGGACTGTCAGTCAGTGGTAAAGGGACAGTGGTGACCTTGCTGGACCAGATAGCAGTGGAGGAATATGACACTGATGGAAAGTTTGTTCGCACTTTTGGACAAGAAATAATAAATTCTGCGTTGGATGTCACTGTTGCTAATGATGGCCTTGTTATGGTATTGGACCAATCAAACCACTGTCAGTTTGTTGACGTATTCAGTGAATCCGGCGACTATCTTCACAAGTTCAAAATGCAAAGACGTGACTGTCTTTACACAAGCATTGCATTTCACCGAGCAAGTGAACATGTCGTCGTCGCCGGTTTTCGAGTGGAAGAAGCCCTGCAGGTTGACATGTACAGTAAAGATGGTGAGTTTGTGTACCATGCACAAATCCCAATTGATGGTGGGATCAATATACCGGTAGTGACAGGGATTTCGGTGACAACCAAGGGACGCATTGCTTGTGTTACAGATGACAAGGTATTAATTTTTTGAAGAGGGGGGTGAAGGGGAGGTCTTGCTCACGTTTCACGCACATCAAGAAGTAGAATAACGCCTACGAAAAATTGTTTAGACGACTTTAAGATTCACGTTTCTCTAAAAGAAAAAAATTTACCGTTCACATGGTCTTAATTTCATATTTATTACAAGTCACAAAAATTAAAAACACTTGTTTAATCCTGCATCACGCAAAACCCCCTCTTACCCCCTCTTTAAACTGCTGGTTTTGATGGTTTCTTGTTTTCCAAATTGTTCAATTATCTTTTTTGGCTGAAGTCATTTTTAAGAAATAGTTTCTTTCCATATTTCCTTTTTGACATTAAATTTCCAAAGTGTACCTAGCTTTTATGTAGATTTTTGATGATTGTATCAAGTGTTAGTTTTGATTGTGATAACTTTAATCACAGCAATGCATAATAAGTTTCATTCTTAGTATGTAAATGGACAGTCATATATTTTAAATATTTTAAAAGGGTGTACATGTCAATATTGCGTATTAGGGTTTTTTTTTGGAAGGAGGGCTGAGGAGGATTCACTGAACCTTGGGATGACATTGATTTTATTTCCTGATTTAACCCTTGGCTAGGTTGGTTGGTTTTGACATAGCCTCTTGTTGCATTACAAGTTTGTTATTGTTTCATGTTTTATTATAGGCTCTTCAGCCTATTTCTTTATACATTGAAACTATTTTATTTTCAAATAGTGAAAGTTTTAGCCAAAATTAAGGAATTTTTTGCAAATTTCATTTACAACATCCTAATAAAAATTCTTGTGTTGTGTTAAAAAACTTGTTTGATTTGTAAATCCCAAAACCTTGCTTGAGAGAGTTATTGGTTGGGTATCAAGTTGAAGATAAGCAACTAGCCAATACAAGTTTTTTTCACTTAATTCATAGGGAAACCTTTTAATAGTTTCATTTCATGCAATGGATATATGGAGAGGAATAAAAAGGAAATTGAAAAACTATGGTCATAGGAGAAAGAAATTTACAAAACCAGTAAATGTGGCCTGTCATTCCTGTCATTCCTGTTTATTCCTTTGGTAATGTGTTGAAAAAATTTTTACTCAAAACTCAAGATTTTTTTCCTGCCATTTTCAGGATGTTAATTGGTCATTGCACAACGGAGAATTTTTCTGATTACTGTGCATGTGCTGAATTTTCCAGCCAAATTTTTGCTTATGAAGTTTATTCTCCTGTTACTACCAGAACATCTTTCAAGAAGACTCTTCACTTTGCCTTTAGCAGCACCTATTTTGAGCTCTGTGTGATACTAAACAACAGTGATTATCATTCACTTACCAGGTGATCAATGTCACAAGTAAACAAGTTACTTTGTTAGTATTGTTAGTAGTCTGATTAGTATACTTATTTTATGGAAAATGCTGAACAACTTTTAAAAGAAATTTTTTTGAGTCAGTGCGGCTTAATATGCCCACTTCAACTATTGAACAGTTTCATTCCTAAGCAATATCACTTTGAATTGATTAATAGAGTTTATTAAACCTACATTGTAACAACTTAATACCCACTGAGGTTAAGTGAAATTGAAATTCCTAAAGATTGGATTTGTTTATCATGATGTCTTTAGTATTCATTACAAAGCATCATTTTTGTATACAGTATAGCAATAGTAATGTTGTGCATTACAATTTTCCGAATGTGTTTTTTGTATTTACAGCTCTAAGCTGATTCAGTAGGTTTAATTAGAAGAATTATTGACTGAGTCACTTTTTTACAAAGTGTAACAATGCTTTAAAACTGTAATTAAAAGTAATTTAGAGGGGGTGAATTGGCTTGCAGCTATTTGGATTTGGATTTTATAACTCACTCATTGCCAATTTTATGCAATATTTTGTAGATTTGAAACACTTGACATGGATTCTATACTCAATATGTTTAATGTTGTATGGTGTAGACAGGAGATAAGTCAGTAAGGTAAATTATTAAAAGGATTCATGAATAATTTCTTTTATTTTTATATAGTGTAACAATGCTTGAAAACTAGACTATAATGTAGAGATGGTGGATAGGTTTGCAGATATTTGGATTTGGGTGTAAGAACTCAAATGCTGCAGATATTTCAGAAAACTTTGTTGATGGTCATTCCAATAGATTTTAAAGTTAAAACTGATCATGGATCACCTGTTTGTCAACATGGATTCCAGATTCAATCTGTTTTTTTAGTGTACGGTAAATTGACAAATGACACATTGTTGGTCTCCAGTTCACCTAAGTCTGTTTATTGATCTAATTTTGTGGACTTAATTTTTTTCAGTTTTCAGTATTTAGAGAAACTTGAAAACAACATGTAGACCCTGATAGCAAGGTAGTTCAGTTTGTAATTAGCCATAAGGCTACTTGTTTAAGTACCAAAATAGAAAGAGAACTTTGGTTAAAATCTTATCACTGTAGAAGAAAAAGAGAGACACAAACACATTGGACACTTCTGGAAGTTTCACAGATCTGACTTTCATTTTTACTTGAAATTAGGTAAACAGGTTGGGTAAAAATATGACAGAGTGACTAAGAAAGAATTACTCCTTACAATATCAATACCATATCGACCAGATAAGTGCATGATGAGAATAAAGAAATATATCAATCTGGGGATAATTGGTTGATTCAATACTAAATTCTCTGATTGAACATTGTAAGAACTGTATGGTTGACAGTAAGGAGAATTAGAAATTTGGTCTGGAAGTTAAAGTGTTAAGTATGTTTTGCATGAAAGTGTTAAAATGTATAACCAAATTTTGAAATAAATGTTACACGAGTGTGATTTTGATTAAATTCTGGTTGTGCTTTTTTTGTCCTGATTTGATGTTTTACTTTCTTCATGCATTTGTAATAGGTAAGGAGCTTACAAGAGAACTACACAAAAACACTTGTGGGTCAGGCTTTCCCCTAGCAACTGTCATTGCTGTTTTTTTTACCAAATCAGTAAAAATTTTTGCAACAACTAAATAGGCCTGAAAATAGTCTGGTTCCATTTGGAGATTAACTATGATACTGGAATCAAGCTCCCTGCTCAAAGAAACATTGGCCTATGGCGCAATGTCGTGGACAATTATATCAATCACACGATGGGATTTTTTTCCGTCTCTGAAATGATATTTGACTACATTGTTGACCATGGTATGATTTACCATTGGATGTGCTAATAAAACAAACACACTCCAAACTTTTGTTTTACAGTGCACTATAAGATCAGCAAAAGGCCAAGTTAAATATTAAGGTAACATCCTTTGTGTTTGGATATTAATTACTAGAGTGTTTGGAAAGACTTACTTAACATAAAGGAAAGTTTAGCCTTCAATGCTGGTCATCATTTGCAGCTGTGTTTATCTTTGCCATCCTTAACCCTCCAACTCCCTTGATCTGATTGTTAATTCTCCCCTCTAGCTGCTACACATTTCCTTTTAAATTAGTTTTTGAGAACTTGGTGCTGAATCAAGATAGCAGCTTCTACCTGACAAGTTTCAATATTCTCATTACCGTATTTACCCGTGTATAATGCGCGCCCGTGTATAATACGCACCCTAGTTTTTGACCTCTTTTTTCCGAAAAAAAAAGATTTCATGACAAATACCAAGAATTAAAACTTCCATTTTTTCACTTAATTAACAAGAGCTGGGAATTCATCAATAATATGTTTACAACAATTTCTAACTAGTTGCTACTACAAATATCGCACGCACCGAGCACCTATTTACAAGCTTTTTTATTCAGTAACAGTCAAACGTTTTATAAATGTTGTAACTTGAAGTCCTTATTAATATACTTAAATTCACAACTTGAATTATTATCATAACAGCCGTTCATAAACATTATTTCTACTCACAGTACTGCTGGTAGCTTGAATATAATTACTGCATTGCAATTGCGTGATTTAAGTAAAATGTTCAGTGTCTTTAAACAACGAAACCTTCAAATTCCGACTCACAGTCCGATTCGAATAGGTTTCGATGACTGAATCCTCAAGTTCATCAGTGATCTCAGTTGAATTGTAAACCAATTCATCTTGTGATCCATTCGAATTGTTTGTGCACCCACAGTTCAGAGAGAGGCAGCGATCATTTCTGATGGAATGCCTTCCTACGCTTGTGAAATATACGAACAGATCAGTTCCTCCGAAGCCTTTTTTTGTCGTCCAGTAAGTTCGTGAATTCCATCAGCCATCCACTCCTTTCGGACTCCATCTCTAAATGGTTTGTTCAAAGATACATCGAGCGGCTGGAGAAGGGAAGTTCGCGTTTGAAGGAAGTGTTCACAGTATCTGTCACGTGAGCTTCAAATGAGTCGTAAATAAGCAAGCTCTTTCTCCTCCCCAGGCCACCGATCCGTGCACTTTTACTTTCTTTGTTGCGTTTTTAACGTATGCAAATTAGGACGTGCTTGACAAACAAAAGAATCCGTGTATAATACGCACCGCGATTTTGATGCTTGTTTTTATGGAAAAAAAAGTGCGCATTATACACGGGTAAATACGGTACTTGTCTGCTGAATAATATACGGATATTAAAGGGAGAAGTTTCATGTGAATCACTTCTGGGAGTCAAAAGATTAACTTTTCACACTTTCCAGCACCTCACTCCCACAGCTCCCTGCAGCATGCTGACATCAATTTTTTTTTTTAATTGTTGTTACTTGTACAGTGTACCTTGCCAAACAGAAGGGCTGCCCATAGTTTACCTAAAGACAGTATGCATACTCTCCTCACTGTAGTCTATACATTCCTGATGGAACTGACAAAAAATTAGATTGATATTCTTGAGGGTTAATATTTTAGTCTATATTGCTATATTCTCCTCTTTCATAGTGTTTTTCTAGTATAGCAAACAAGTTTTTCAAGCTCTTACTCTATGAAATGGAAAAGCAAAAAATTATCATTTGATAATGCTTAACTGTCTAGTAATGCACAAATCATTTTGAAAACTTCAACTTCCATGGACATTTCACTGTCTTCTGTACCCTGAAGGTGGGGAACTTGAACCAGAAGTGTCAAGTCTTTTTAGTGGAACTCCAAATACAAGAGTTGTATTTTTACATATGGAGGTACTGAAGGTATTAAATAGTTCGCTTTCATGAGAGAATGGCTCAATAAAAGGACTACAAGGTCTAGGTTTTAAAGCTTGGGCAATGTGCAGAAAGTCATGGTCCCTGATTTTGCCCTCTACAAAGACATTAGGTGGGGCATTTTGAACACAACTTTTTCCCTGGTGAGTGGGAATTTGGAAGGGGAGTACAAGTAGTACAAGCATCCATTGGCCACATTGTGAAGAAAAAATCTCATTGTCTATGCAAGTGAGGCTCGACCTACATTTTTAACAGTTATAGCAGGTTGTTATGGATAAAGAAAAGACTTCAAAGTAACCTGTATCCTGAGTCCCTCAGAGAAACGGCTTGTCTTTGTGGTCACATTCCAAATTAAGAGAGTTTATTAACCTTACAGCAGTTCTGATTCTCTCGTTAGCCTTGTCAACTAAAGTCAGAGAGTAGGCAAGATGGGCTTTGGAGAAAATTTCGTGGTGCAGACCTACCAAGTTTGTAATTTTTGGACAATGTCGGTGACGGAGTCGCAAAAAGTGGCAGAATACAGTCAAAACAAAGAAAACATAAACTACTCTCATGGGTTTCATGTGCTACAAAAAGATTTGATTTCCTTCCCGCGGCTCTCGAAGTAAAGAAGTAGTTCTTGACTCTTACTCAGTAAAGCGTAATCTTTTTGCTGCATAAGAAATCCTTTGTTGACCAAGCTTGTTCGGTCAAGATGTTTAGATATTGGCCTAGTTCCCTTGTTTTTTTTTTTTCCTCATTAATACGCAAAAGAGTACTCGGCTAATATCCAGCCATCTCGACTGAAACAAGCTTGGCCAATAACGCATATATCAGTTACATCTATGAACGAGAAATGTCAATGAAATGCATGGGGCATCTTTTCTGTAGTTTCTTTGGTAAGATTTCCGTATACCCCCATACTATTCTACATAAAAGCCGTAGTCACAGAGGTAATCTACGAGCTATTGTTACGCCACTGCCTTCTCTCATCCAATACTGTAAGCATAATGAATTATGGGGCTGTGCGGAAATCTCGCCGGATTTGACTTCATCGAAGTTGAGAGTTGATGGTGATGTTTCTTTTTCCTTTGGGACACGTGATTCCGATCTCATTAGGACGAGTTTCGCGGCCTCCGCGATAAAGCATGGAGTCTCCATTTCCCGGAAATACTGTGACGTATGTTATTGTTGTACGTCATCTGTCGAAGCACGGGGAATCCCCCGGTGAAGAGTAACAGAAGGGAAGTTCTGATGTAAGGCAGAGGATGAAAGAAAATACTCTTGAGTCCCTCTTGAGTGGCAGAGTAGACAAATAGTATTCTCCATAAGCGTTTAGCAGAGTTTCAAAATGTCCCTTTCTGAACTGAATTGTATTTAGCCGGGTTAATTGAAAAGGTAGTAAGTTTTTCTCAACCACAGTGGGTTTCAATTGTATTTGCCCTTGTGTGAATGCCTTTGATAATTTTTTCGCTGTCACCAATGAATATCTCTTTCATCTTGGTAAAATTTGGAAAGAAGAGTCATTTCAAATTCCTAGCTACGGGCTTTGAAGGTATTTGAATTTCTCTTACAGTCCAGTGAGCATTCAAAAAGCCTGTGGTCTGCCAAACGAATAAAGGGGGTAAGTTTCCAAAGAAACTGTAGTGCTGCGTCGGTGGGAGAGTATAATAAGGAAATTTAGTTTTATCAATTGAGTTGAAAACGTTAATTGGCTACCGTAAAAAGTTTAAACAGTCCAGTAGCAGAGACTGGAAAATCAAGGTTTCGTTCAATCCACGAGCTAGAAAAGGTTTGACAATGGATTTTATCAGACCAATACCTCCTGAGTAAGGCTCGTTACGCCGTAAAGTCGAAAAGTGGTATACGATCCGAGAGAAAGGAGGGGTTTTTGCTACGTCATCCCTTCGTCGGTGTGAAAACGAGGTTGTAGAGTGTATGACATTTGTTTTCTCATTTTTTCTTTTTTTTTACACCCTTATCAACATTGGCCGTCCAAATACCTAGGTAGTTCAAAACACTTGCTTCATTGGTTTAATTTTACAGAAGTGACATCACGTGACTTATCATGTGACAAGAAAAATCCTAAAGAAACCCTTGAAAATATTAAAAAATCTTTGTCTTTTTATAAACAAGTATTAAATTTTATTCTTTATTCTTACAGCGAATCCTTGAAGCACTAACATCAAGTCATTAGCATTGCGCTGAAAATTATTCGTTGCTCAAGTAAAAGTCGTACCAAGCTTCCAAAGCACATAGGCTTTGCACCATGTGTATACCATCTCACCTCATCGCGTCTCCTTATAACGCTCCTCAACAAAATGGGACACTGTTGCAGTTGTGACAAACCGCGTGTGACAGACACTAGTATCGCAGCGGAAGTACTTGCTGAAGCGGACGAGTATGGCACTGTAGCACCGAAAACAAAACCTGGCCCCGATTGCTCGAAAGTTGGATAACGCTGTCCACTGGATAAAACTCTATACGGTGGATACACTTATCCATCGGAGAGCAATTTATCCGTTGGATAGCGTTATCCGACCTTTACTAGTACAACTGGGCCCTGGTCCGTTTCTTTTACTAGCGGCAGACAACACAAATGTCAATGAAGAATCCCTCGATGGAAAAAACAACTGATGTGACATCCATGGTTGTATTTCAGAGACGGTCGAATATATAAACCAGAACCACCCCCGGTCTAACTGGCCAACCACAATGACGGGAAACTATCCCTACAGGCAGGGGGAAGGATTTACGAGCTAAAAGAGTGCTCTGCATTTGGTAGACGACCTCAAGTCACTTTTTATACTGGTCAGGTTAAACAAGAGTGGTTTAAAGAAGAAAATGAGCTGTTGGAGTCAGCACGTTGCGCTGATGAAGTATGAAAAGTCATTCAAATGCATTCCTTAGGTCTAATGGAATCACTATCTCGAGAAGTAATCGCGAGTCAGTCAGTTCCTGGGTGGAGTGCATTCAACGCATTGCTTTATCCAGAGTCACCAGAAATTGGCGTGGTTGGTTACTAGTTGCCCCCTAACAGATGGCTCTTCAACGGAGTTCAGTACGATATATACCGTTCTCAAGGACGCCCAAGCCATCAGTAATACCATGGGTCAGGAAGATGCACTGAGTAATAGCATTTGATCTTGCTATGTGTGTGAAGGCCAAGCAAATACAGTGGAGGCTTGCAAACAAGTTTTCCGTTGTTGTGATTCGAATGGGTACGTTTCATATCGCATTGAACTTCTTGGTGTTTATTGGCAAAAAGTACTTAAACTCGGGCCTTGAAGATCTGCTGATCGAGAACCGTACTCACAGTCCTCTGCCAGCCTGTATAAATCTTGAATGAAGGCATCCACCGACTCACCAAGTAACTGGTGTCGTTTGTTAAACGAGATCTTTATATTATCAAATTGCGGCGAACATCGAAATAACTATTGAAAACAGTGCGAACTTCTTCATACGTAGCTTTTTTTTCGTCGATTCAGAGTGGCTAGAATGTCATACTCTCATTATGACGTACTCGCAGGGAGTGGAAGTTGACTTGGCTGTTGCGGATTAATTTCGTTTTCTTGTGCTTCAGAAGGCAACCCTGAGGTTTTTTTTGTGTGTGATACTGCTGCAGTGTCGAGCATTTTAAGGGTTAAGGACCACTGCCACCATGTATGATTTAAGACTAGTTGAACAATAACACCTTTATTGAAGATGGCGACCCGTGTAAGCACACGATTCCAGCGTGCAACGCACAAGGTTAACGTGATTGACAACGGTAGAGATTGGCATAACCCTACAACCACCACCACAAGATAACGGTTGGCACCTAGAAGGTAAAATGTTGAAACTTGTCTTGATGACCAGAGACCCAACACCAAGAAGTCTGCTTGAACTAACCACATGCCAATGTAGAAGATCTATGTGCCATGCAAGTTGTTCCTGTTCTGGTATTGGCCTTCCCTGTACAGAGTCCTGTTTGTGCACAGCAGATGAAGAAGCCTGCCAGAACCCTCATCGCACGCCGCTTCATTTTGATAGTGACTCTGAAGATAGTGACAAGGACTAGCTATATAGCAAGGCACCTCTTTAACCACATAAATAGTTAATTACTCTGGAAAACCCTAACGTACAATTTTTAACAGTATGATGTACACAATTTGAGATGCACTGTTTCTTACAAATTGGGTAAAAAATCGATCAACGTTCTAACGCAGTTGCTTTTTAGTAGTAGTTTTGCAAAATTGAAACTGTTTGTTACTGTCGATTGTAAACATAGGGAACATCTTGGTCAAGACTGCTTTATATTACTTCATGTAAATCGTTTACCGGAAAAAAAATGAATGTCAGCTCTTCAAGGATTCACTGTAGTGATAGTCTGAAACTTTAAAACTATCATCTTTAACTAGAAGCAGAGGATAAACAATTCAGAGCATCAGCCTCGTGTTCATGTTTTGTCATTTAATCGACAAAGCATTAATCTTCGATCATTAAAAAAAGAAAAAAATAGCCAAAAAAAAGCCAAATGATAAAAGGTTTGTGATAAGAAAGGCCGAGCATCAAATTTCATACTTGTTTATAAAAAGACAAGGATTTTTTATATTTTCAAGGGTTTCTCTGAGATTCTTTTTGTCACGTGATAAGTCACGTGACGTTGCCAAAGGGTGAAATTAAACTACGAAGGTAGTATTTTGAACTAACTGAGTATTTGGACCGCTTATGCTGATAAGGGTGTTAAAAAAAATTAGCAAACAAACGTCATGCACTCTACAATCTCGTTTTCACGCCGGCGAAGGGATGACGTAGCAAAAACCTCTTCTTTCTCTCGGATCGTACACCCCTTTTCGAATTTACGACGTAGTGAGCCTTACTCAGGAGGTATTGGTCTGAAAAAAATCCACTGTCAAACCTTCCTTAGCTCGTGGGTTGAACGAAACCCCGATTTTCCGGTCTCTGCCACCTGACTATTACAAACAAAGTAAGAGTTCAACTAGCGTATCAAATAAATGACGTCACGCGGCCTCAAACCCGTCGTTGTCTTCTGTGTCATTACCATATAAATAGTTTCCGGGTGCTACCTGTACTTCGCTTATCCGCAATGTCCTCCATAGTAACAGCCTTGTTCAAAGTCACCATCGGTTTGCTAGTCAACAAAGGCAGAGATAAGGCCGCAGAGATACTGAAAGATGGCGATGTAACAGATCAAAGATTCCACTCCTTGATCGTCCGTGAAATAGACGACATCAAGTCAAAGTTGGACGCGTTATCGAGAAAAGATTTAGAAGCGAGTATCAGTTTCTTTGAGGAAGGAATCGCGTTGTTGTATGAAGTGTTTGACATAGTAAAGTCTAGAAACGAGCGTGGTGCGGCAACAGCACAAGCAGCTTGTGATGGAGCATTTTCTCTCGTTGAAGGAATCACAAGGTTAGAGCTTACTGGCCTGGACGAGTCTGCTACAAGAAAGCTTTCCACTGCAAAGAAAAGATTCGAAGATGCTCGAAGGGAAGCAACGAGGGCCTTTAAAAACGAAGGCCTCAAAACATCTGACCGCATTCTGGCCATGAAGTATCGAGTAATGGCAACGATATTGGAAACAGTAGACAATCCCGCTGATGCAGTGGCACCATGTAGAGTGTGCGTAAAGGAACTTAACAGTCTGTCAGCAGTACAGAATAGCCTTGACGTTCAGCTCAAGACAGGCATTCAGAAAGTGAGGGGTTTATTTGGTAAAGAGGAAAGAAGGGAAATAATTTGGAATGTTTGTCATGTGAATCGCGTGATCTTTGATATTGCGCTCGCATTGGGGAGACTTGACTTCTGCCCAAGTGTTGATATTGGAGAAAATAGAGTTATTCCATTGTGTGACGTGAGGGTAAGAGACGTGTTACTCAAACATGATAAAGAGTATTGTTGTCTTCCATTACGGTCATTTGGTCAGGAGGGTGAGGAGGAACACAAGCTGGAGGAACCGATGGGTATCGCTACAAACTCCAGCGGACAATTTATTGTAACAGACTTGCATTACGTGAAGGTGTTTGACAACAGCGGCAAGTTTGTGAAACAATCGAGTCTCTCCGATGAAGTAAATACAACATATGCTCATGAAGTTGCCACAGACATGAGCGACAACATCTTCGTGCTAACCAGACTGGAGAAGCCTGGGAGAGAGGAATCTTATTGGGTTTATAAACTTACTAAAACCGCTGACCTGTATCACAAGTTTCGTCTGAGGGGAGGGGGCTGGTACAACGGACTGTCAGTCAGTGATAAAGGGAAAGTGGTGACCTTGCGGGACTGTGAGTCAGTGGAGGAATATAACACTGATGGAGAGTTTGTTCGCAGTTTTGGAAAAGGAATAATAAGGTTTGCGGAAGCTGTCATAGTTACTAATGATGGCCGTGCTCTGGTAGCAGATGCAGCTGACGACTGTGTTCACATATTCGGTGAATCCGGCGACTATCTTGACAAGTTCAAACTGCAACGAATTGACTATGATTACAAAAGGATTACATTTCACCGAGCAGGTGAACAAGTCGTCGTTGCTGGTATTCGAGTGGGTAAACTCCTGCAGGTTGAAATATACAGTAAAGATGGTGAGTTTGTGTACTGTGAAGAGATCGCAATTGGTGGGATCTGTTTTGTGAGAGGGATAACGATGACAACCAAGGGACGCGTTGCTTGTGTTAAGGACAAGGTATTAATTTTTTGAAGAGGGTTGTAAAGGGGAGGTCCAAAAAGAAGAAAAATTTGATAAACAACGTTAAGATTCACATTTCTCTAAAAGGAAAAATTCACAGTTCACATGGTCTTCATTTCATATTGTTACAAGTCATGAAAAGTAAAAAGTCACTTGTTTAATCCTGCATCATCCAAAAGCCTCTGTGTGAACTGCTGGTTTTGATGGTTTCTTGTTTTTCTAAATTGTTCAGTTATCTTTTTTGGCTGAACTCATTCGTAAGAAGTAGTTTATTTCCATATTTCCTTTTTGACATTGAATTTCCAAAGTGTACGTAGCTTTTATGAAGATTTTGAAAGATTATATGAAGTGTTAGTTTTGATTGTGATGACTTTAATGACAGAACATTTAGTTTCCTTCTTAGTATGTAAACGAACAGTCACATTTATTTGAAACATTTTATTTACATGTCAATATTGCGTAGTAAGGTTTCTTTTTGGAGGGAGGGCTGGGAAGGATTTGCAGAACCTTGGGATGACATTGATTTTATTCCCTGATTTAACTCTTGGCTAGCTTGGTTGGTTTTGACTTTGCCTCTCGATGCATTACTAGTTTGTTATTGTTTCATGTTTTATTATAGGATGTTTATCCTATTTCTTTATACATTGAAATGATTTTATTTTTAAATAGTGAAAGTTTTAGCCAAAATTTAATGCATTTTATTGCAAATTGTAGTTAGAAATTTCTATAAAAATTATTGTGTTGTTACAAAAAACTTGTTTGATTTGTAAAATACCAAAACTGGGTATCAAGCTGAACATAATCAACTAGCCAATACAAACTTCGAAACTTGTTCACTTAATTCATAGGGAAACCTTTTCATAGTTTCATTTCATGCAATGGATTTATTGAAAGGAATGATAGAAAATCGAAGAAGTATGGTTTTAGCAGAAAAAATTTAAAAAACCAGTTGAGTTAATGTGGCCTGTCATTCCTGTTTATTCCTTTGGTAATGTATTAAAACAATTTTTACTTAAATCCAAAGATTTTATCCCTGCCATTTTCAGGATGTTTATTAGTCATTGCACAATAGAGAATTATCTTGTTACTGTGCATGTGCAAAATTTTCCAGTCAAATTTCAATTTTCTGAGCTATTTTTCTTTTGCCTATGAAATTTATTCTCCTGTTACTACCAGAACATCTTTCAAGAAGACTTTTCACTTTGCCTTTAGCAGCACCTATTTTGAGCTCTGTGATACTGTAAGACTGTGATTATCATTCACTTACCTGGCAATCAATGTCACAAGTAAACAAGTTACTTTGTTAGTATTATTAGTAGTCTGATTAGTATACTTATTTTATGGAAAATGCTGAACAACTTTTAACCCTTTAAATCCCACAATCTGATAGTAAATTCTCCTCTCTTGCCCCCACACATTTCCTTGTAAATCATTTAACTTAGGAGAATTTGGTGTTAGATCGAGATAACTTCTTCTTGATAAGTTTGAGTATTCTGATGACCTGTTTGCTATCAGATAATGTTTAGATATTATAGGGAGAAGTTACATGTTAATCACTTTGGGAGTTAAAAGGTCAACAGAATTTTTTTGGATTTCAGTGCGGCTTAATATGCCCACTTCAATTATTGAACAATTTCATTTCTAAGCAATATCACTTTCAATTGATTAAAGATTGGATTTGGCTATCATGATGTCTTTAGTTTTCCTTATAAAGCATTATTTTTGTATACAGTATAGCAATAGCATTGTTGTGCGTTACAATTTTCCTAATGTGTTTTTTGTATCTACAGCTCTAAGCTGATTCAGTAGGTTTAATTAGAAGAGTTATTGAGTTACTTTTTTTTACTACTAACAATGCTTTAAAACTGTAAAGTAATTTAGAGGGGGTGAATTGGTTTGCAGATATTTGGATTTAGGTTTTATAACTCACTCATTGCCAATTTTATGCAATATTTTGTAGATTTGAAACACTTGCTTTGAATTCTAGACTCAATGCATTTGATAATGTGGAGTGTGGATAGGAGATAAGTCAGTAAGGTAAATTATCAAAAGGATTCATGAATAATTTATTTTGCTTTTATTATTCAGTAGAACAATGCTTGAAAACTACAGACTATAATGTAGAGGGGGTGGATAGGTTTGGAGATATTTGGGTGTAAGAACTTACATGCTGCAGATTTTTTCAGAACACTGTGTTGGTGGTCATTCCAACAGATTTTAAAGATAACATTGATCATGGATCACCTGTTTGTCAGCATGGATTCCAGATTCAATTTGTTTTTTAATGTAGATTGATCAATGACATACTGTTGGTCTCTGGTACACTTAAGTCTGTTTATTGATCTAATATTTGTTGACTTAATTTTTTCAGTTTTCAGTATTCAGGGAAACTTGAAAAAAACATTGTCAATTTATAGACCCTGACAGCAGAGTAGTTCAGTTTGTAATTAGCCATAAGGCTACTTTTTCAAATACCAAAATGGAAAGAAAACTTGAGATAAAATCTTGTTACTTTAGGAGAAAAAAAGAGACGCAACCACATTGCACACTTCTGGAAGTTTCACAGATCTGACTTTCATTTTTACTAACAATAAGATAAACAGTTTAGGGAAAAAATATGACAATTTTGGGGCTGCATAGCCCTATTTACCCCATTTTCTCCCTCTTAGTGAAGTTTAACCCTTTAACTCCCATGAGTGACCAAGACAGAATTTCTCCTTATAGTATCAATGCCATATCAACCAGATAAGTGATGAGAATAAAGAAATATATCAATTTGGGGATAATTTGTTGATCCAATACTTAGTTCTCTGTTTATAAGAACTGTATGGTTGACAGTAAGGAGAATTACAAATTTGGTCTGGGAGTTTAAGGGTTAAGTATGTTTTGTATTAAAGTGTTAAAATGTATAACCACATTTTGAAATAAATTTTGCACATGTGTGATTTTGATTAAGTTCTGGTTGTGCTTTTTTGTTTTTGTCCTGATTGTGTTTTACTTTCTTCATGCATTTGTGGACAATTTTATCTTCAGTGATGGATGATAATAGTAAGGAATATGCAATAGAACTGCACAAAAAGTAGGTGTGCAAAAACGTGTGGGTCAGGCTTTCCCCCCTAACAACTGTCACTGCTGTTTTTTTTATTTTACCAACTCAGTAAAAATGTTTGCAACAACCAAATAGGCCTGAAAATACACTGGTTCCATTTGGAGATTAACTATGATACTGGAATCAAGCACCCTGCTCGAAAAAACATTGGCCTATGGTGCTGTATCATGGACAAATATATCAATCTCACAATGGGATTTTTTTTGTCTCTCAAATAATATTTGACTACATTTTTGACCATGGCTGGTACGATTTGCCATTGGATGTGCTAATAAAACAAACACACTCCAAACTTTTGTTTTATAGTGCACTATAAGATCTGCAAAAGGCCAAGTTGAATATTAAGGTAACATCCTTTGTGTTTGGACATCAATAACCAGAATGTTTGGAAATACTTACTTAACATAAAGGAAAGCTTAGCCTTCAATGTTGAAGGTCATCATTTGCAGCTGTGTTTATCTTTGCCACCCTTAACCCTCTAACTCCCTTGATCTGATTGTTAATTCTCCCCTCTAGCTGCTACACATTTCCTTGTAAATTAGTTTTTGAGAACTTGGTGTTGGATCAAGATAGCAGCTTCTACCTGATAAGTTTCAATATTCTTGTTACTTGTTTGCTGAATAATATATAGACTTCAAAGTAACCTGATCAAATTAATGTAGAGTCCTTAAGAGAAAAAGCTTGTCTTTGTGGTCATATTCCAAATTAAGTGAGTTTATTGACCTGGCGCACATCAGTTCTGATTCTCTCGTTAGCTTTGTCAACTGAGTCAGACAGTAGGTCCAGTTGTTGGAGTTGTCTGTCTTGTTCCTCTTGTATGCCTAGAGCTAGAGACCTCATGTCTTGTAAGACTCGGCCCATTTCTGCGGCGTCAGCATCAGTAACTGTCTTGGAGTTTTTTTCCCTGGCTGGAATTCCAATGGAGTCTTCCTCACACTTTTCACCTTCTGAGAAACAAATTAGTTTGTTTATAAAACTTGTAATAAAAAAAGGGATTTGACAATTTCACTGTTTCACATTTATCTATTTGATCAAGTTTGTAAACACACTAACTGGTCCTGATCTGGCCTTGGGTTGTAGGATAAAGAGGAGCTCTAATTAGGAGCAACTTTTACGCAGTAGCTGGGCTAGTGAATTGAAATCCAAGATAGAGAACTAAAAGAAACCTTATCACCAGTGACTTAAGGGTGAAAGAATTATTAAACTACTTCAGGCTGAAATTTGAACAACAGATTTGAATCACACACAAGATAAGGAGATCTACATGTACATGTAGCTCAAATATTCAATGTGCTGGGGAAAGTGGCCCAAACTGCAAAAGAGAAATATGCTGAGCCCTTTGTTATCATCAACAGTTTGAATCATTCTAAGACTGTGGATGTATTTTCTTCTATTGATAAAAATTTTGGAAAAAATTGTACAGTAAATTGCTGTATAATTGTCATGGTCTTCTTTGCAGTTGGTGGTTAATATAACATTTCATATTGGCTGTGTCTCTTTCTACATTGCTGAAACTTGCCTGATAAGGGAATGATTCCTTCTTACATTTTTCACTGAATGACGATTTGGTCTTTTAAGGCAGAACTTCATATTTCTTTAATGAGTCTATTTACCTCTGAAGCAAAAATCAGGGTCTCCAATTGCTCCTTTGACTAACACACACCTAAGTTCATTGACCAGTAATTTTCCTGACAAGAGAGTCCAGAACACAGCAAATTTACATGTAATACTCCCTTGAAGCCAAGAGCTTTATTGACCTGGTTTCAACCTGAGTTGCTAATGGCGAGTCTAGCAAGGCATGCCCACTTTTTAGTAACCACATCTACATGTACCAAGGATTGTTGTCAGGAGATGTTAATGTTCGAGAGAAAGCTTTACACTGTCTAATGACTGTACATACCTTGCAGAGAAAACTTCTCCGCATCTAGATCATGACTATCTGGATCACCAGCATCATCAGGAGGTTCATCATAATTAATTTTTCCTGGCAAAAGAACCTCAAGAGTTTGAAGAATATGAACCAAGCGAGCTGCTGTCAGATGCACAGAGCTCCCAGCTTTTCCTATTGACTGCTGCAATACTGTCATCTCCCAAGGAGTATGAACACTCACTTCTGTAATTTCCTTCACAGCAAAGGAAATATCAAGACTTCTTCCAGCATCAAAAATCTCCAGTGAGTTCTTTGACAACACTAAAGTGCCAGGAAAATGTTTCTCTTTAGAGGTCCTTGCATACACCACAGAATATTCAGCCTTTTCTATAAGAATGCTGTCCTCTGGAACATCTATATATACTTGATGAGTTTCCAGATTCCACTTGCTAAGCCATGCATCCAGATTGTAAATTAAAGTCTCTGCAACACTAAGATCATTATGAATCTTGTTCATGTTCACACAGGCAGAGTCAATTTGTTGTCCCTGTTTCTGCACAGTCCTACCAGTTGATGCCAAAGTGCTTTGAGCATCATGTAAGATATTGAGGAGTTCTGAATTGCGAGGTGCATCACTGGAAGAGCTAGAGCAAGAGAGGACATAGAATTCAAACTTACAAATGTATGTTGCTTGCAATATATAAACATGATTGAGTAATTTATTATTAATGTTTGTATTTATCCTTAACTCTTTATATTCTAAGTATGACCAGTATCAAATTTCTGCTTATAGAAATAATGCTGAATCATGGGTTATTAAAGTTCATGAGAAGAAAAGAAATGACTGCCAACCGAGGAAGCTTTGATTGTTCAGTCAATTCTCCTTGTTAATAAGAATACTGATATTAGGATGTAAAAAGGTTAAAAGACAACTGTCCATCAATAATAACCATGGCCATACAACAACCATTTTATGCTCAGGAAAATGGGAGCTAATTATTCTTTAGTTGTAGAAGGGAAACTATTGGATCATCCAAGAGAATCTGATCAATCCCGACACCACCCCCTCTCCTTCCCGTAGCTTTTCTCTTTCCCTACCCACCAGAGTCAGTTATCATAAAGGTCGCTGCCAGCTGCTATGAAATTTTCAACACAACATAACAATGTTTTACCTTCCAAAAAGCCTTTCCTTCCAGAAATGTTCGATCATGTTGAAAACATGACCACGATCAGACAACGACGAAAACCAATATTTATCAGTCCTTACACGGATTGTAATGGCCGCGAAAAAAATTGATGTTGTCTCCTTCTTCAGCTCGAAAAAGTTTTCGTAGGAGATTCGAAAATCGAGACTATCTGTTCCTCCTTTGTTTTCGATGAAACGTACGCATCGAGTGTAAATAATAAGGTGACCATATACCCACGTTCTGGTGCTATTACAGTAGTAGGATGCTTTCCATTCACTGACTTTTCCCATGTTTAGTTTTTGTTCCAGGAAAGCTGTTGTGTTATGATTGAGGAATCAAACATTCAGGTCAGCGGTTCGAACATTTCGTTTAAGTCCGTAAAAATCCGACGGTATTCCGAGGTTTGACGAAGTCGCGGGCATGTCTCTGAGTTGAACCAAAATCTTTTTCCAACTCTCAAGTCCATCGGTATTTTACGTGTTAATTACCTCATCATGGCCGAAAGAAACTCATGCAGCGGGGAAGACTTAACAGACGAGGACGAGGAAGAAGAAGAGCTGGATCCTCGCGTGCAGGTATGAAATGATACAGCATTACAAATGAAAGGTGATAATATTTTCAACTTGCAGTGATTTGCGTGTTCGCTCCTCTTGTAGGACGAGCTGGAGAAATTGAACGTCGCTGCCAACTCGATTAATCATTTAGAAGCAGAACTTGATGTAAGTATGAACACAACCTATCCTTAATAGTTTTGCGCTCGTAAAACATAGATGTCTTTGTTACTGTTTGATATGGTTAGTGACAAGCCATTTTCACACAATACAACTTTGTGTACTTTGTTAATCGATGCTATATTCGTTTCACAATATTTGTATTTTAAAAACTTCCTTAATCGGTGGTCATTTATTTTAATCCCATGTTTCTCATCATTCATGTTAAATTTTTTTACCGTAAGTATTTAATTAGGATCTCTACAAAGATTTCTGCACAAAGCGGGCTTACGGGCCAGTGGTTATCAAGGGGGGTAGTGTGGGGTTTGCATTATTTGCACTGGAGTGGGAGGGAGGGTAACCCGGAGAGTTCGAATACTTGTTTCAACAAATTGAAATGTTAGGCCCAGATATCAGGGTGAGTTTTAATTTTTCAAATTTTTTACAGAGCAATGTAACAAAGATAGTCTCATCTAATTTGCAAGATATTATTTTAAGATGATAGCTTTTACTTGTTCAATTTGAACTGATGTATACTGCAAGTAAATTTACTTTTCTGGAGTTTACAAACAATTATGACATTAGAAATAATCAGGGACCAAAATGTGATAAACAGAGAAATATTCAAACCCTTTTGTCACTTATACTGATTCCTACCACTTAATGCCTGCTTCATGAAAATTAAATGGTGTTTTTTTTTCTGGGTCCTGAGGAGCACCACTCTCGCATAAAGCTGGTTGCTAGTATCTCTACTCTTTACACCCATTTCCCACAATGGGGCTTTTCAGGACCAGTGAGGCATGATCAAACATACATTCCAAAATACTATTCTCAACCAATTGATGTTAAAAATAGGGTATTTTTATATGATTAACTGAGTTGATAACAAAAATAAGCCTTGTAAAGAATTTAAAAGCTGATATTAGTGTGATTGATGAAGGACTCACTCTCACTTTGAACTCTTTACGATGTTAAAAATAGATTGGCCAAGAATAGCTACTGATTGAGGGCAGTCATTAGTAATTTACTGAGTGCCCCCCAGGAGGTTAACTTGCTGCAACTAATATAAGAACAACTCTGGTCAAACATGTTAGAGTTAAGTCTTTACTTCAATTTGTATTATCTAGGAGGCTAGGGCATTTTTCCGCCAGACCATGGCTGCTGCGACCTACCATCTAGATGATCAAGCAAAAAAGCTAGGGAAGTGTATTCAAAAGGCAAGACCTTTTTATGATGTGCTCAGAGAGATGCGGAAGGTATGAGATGGTAGAATTTTTTATTCTAGGGAGATACTTTTGTCTTCAAACTTGTCTTAACAGGCTTAAATTCTTCCATAAGTCCATAAGGTTGTGGAAATGTATGGTTATTTGTGTTTGGAGAGTGGTCTGAAATCTTAAGTAGACTTTTGTCTTCTGTCTGTTGTTAGCCAAAATCAGCTTGCTTTTTGGTGGAGTCCTTTAGAACAAATACTAAATGTAATAGGTTCTTAAAGCAAAGAAGTTGACAATATATTTGACCTCAAATAAGTTACACGTAACCTGACTGAAATACAGTAAAAGTGTGGGAAAATACAAATGACCACTTTGTACACCAAGTTCTTACCATTTTGGTGGCATGATGAGCAATAAACATTTTAGTGACTAAATTTGCTAGGAAAGTTGAAGATTTGGCAACCTGTTGTTATCAGTGATCCATGATTGTAACCTTTGTGTACCTAGTTATTTGTTGTGGTTCAGTTTTATCCTTGGTTCAAATTATATTCTCTTTTGTTTTTGGGTATTGTAATGTATGATTATAAGTTTGAAACAAAGGAAAGTAAAATTTGAACCAAGGATAAAATTGAACCACAATATATTCATGGTTGAAATGTTAACTCTTCAACTCACTTGAATGATCAAGACAAAAATTAATTCTAACTTATAATATCAGTACAATATCAAACAAACTAGTGATGAGAATAAAGAAAAAATGTTCAGTTAGGGGATTATTAATTGATGTAATACCAAACTCCCCAAACTTACATCACAAGAATTATGTATCAGACACTAAGGAGAATTACCAATGAGATCTTTGGAGTTGAAGGGTTTTTCATGGGATAACCATTGTTGCTCAAGGCAAGTACATTGTATTTCTTTTATTAAAAGGCTCACTCTCAACTACAAAGAGCAACTCTTCAGTATGAAAAAGCAAGTTGCAGGCATGTGTGTGCACGGAACACAGTGCATGAGGCTGAACAGAGAGTATTTTCCTGTGGGGAGAAGAGAGCATTTGATACAGCATTGCAAGAAATGCTCAACCAGGCAACAATTGAGGTAAAAATGCATTAAAGCTGCGAATAAGTGTCAGTCATTGGACAACTTCCCATTAAAACTGTCACATCTGAGGATATCTTGACTGCAGTTAAACATTACAGTGTATATCTGGACATATTTTTAGCCCCATAACTTAAGTGATGTAATGGGTTTTTGCAAAAGGTCACTTGTCTACAATAATGTTAATCAAAAATGAAAAGATGAAATGAAAGGAGAGTGTTACCACCTCTCTGTTGTCCAAAGATGCTCAGGAGGCATAGACCTCTAAGAGTGACTAGCATCTAATTTCTCCTTACAATATCACCTCTGAATCATGCTGTGAGGTCATAAGAATAAAGAAAATTATCAGATGTAAAAGAAGCTGTTGAGTGTTACATAAATTTTCCTTTTCAGCACCCCAGGGAATGTATGAGGAACAGAATGGAGAATACCTTTAACTGATGATGGGTTGTTAACGGTTAACAATTGTCTCTATCAGCTGTAAACTTACATACAACAGTGCAGTACTATGATGCTAACAATGCTTATGTTACTAACAACACTACCCCTATTGCTATTTATACTTATTGATGCTCATGTTAGAGACTACTAACAAAAGGATTTTTCTCTTAATTAGCTTACACTACAAATTATGTGATGCTTATACTACTTGCATCACAAATTTTAAATAAATGATTAGCTTATTCTACACACTAAACAATACTTACACTAGGTGAGGCTATTACAATTTTTGAAAGGTAGACTTCAGCACATCACAGACACAATGCATATACTTAAAAAATACAGTTAAGCATCTTTAGCAACCAGTTACTTTGCATGACTTTAGCAAATTGTCATGAGTGACCAAGACAGAATTTCTCCCTACAATATTAATACAATATCAAAAATCTTAACTAGTAGATTGTTAGTTGATCCAATACCAAATTTCCCAAACTAACATCACAAGAACTATATGACAGACAGTAAGGAGAATTACTAATGAGATCTTGGGAGTTAACAGTTAAATGTGTGTATTCATGATCCCCCTTTATGGTAGAATTATTGTGAAATTTAGAAAAGACAAACTGAAACAGGTGCTTCTGGTACAGTTGATGCTGTTCATTTCTGTTGCCAGCCATCTGCAAGGAAGAAAATTTTTTTCAGTTACAATATACTGCTGAGATTTCAACCTCTGTTTTGTCTTCTCACTCGAGTCACTTGTTTTTCACATCACAGGTCAACGAGGCTGAAAATCAAAAAAAGGAGAGTTGGTTGACTCATCAGAAAATGTACAAGTCTTACCAGGAAGTGGAACAGAAAGCCAGGACTATGCAGAGCAAACTGAAAAAATCTATTGAGAAAGCCAAGTAAGCTACTATATCTTACTACCGATAACCTTAGATTTCATTTCAAAATTGCAATTCTCACTAAGTGTTATTATGTGCTCAACAATTGTTACAATTTAATAAAGGGGGCAAAATGCTTAAGAAACTGTGGTGCTGCATCAGTGGGGGAGTATAACAAGATAATTTTGGTTTTATCAACCGAGTTTCAAAGCTGACGTTTCAAGCATTACCCCGTTGTCAGAGTCAATGAAGAAGGACTGATGCTCAAAATATCAGCATTGAAACTCTTTACAGTGGCCAATTTACATTTATCAACTCAGTTGATCATTACAATTTGTCAAAATTCCTTCAACATTTAAGCCCAGCTACATGTGCAGGTCTATTGGGTTGTCTAATATTGTCTTAAATTATGTATACTTCTCCCAGTATGAAGTATACTTGTCATATATGAATGTAGTAAATGGCTTAGTTTGCCAACGAGTTCTCTCTATGAGCTCAGTGCTAGATCATCAAACTGAAAAATTGGAAGGTCTGGTGTTCAACTCCTGGCGAGGGACTCAGACCATTTCTTTGTTCCATACTAATGACAAAAGAGATTGACAACAAAGCTAAAAATTTTCCATCTTTCTCATTAATTTGCAGGCCCTACTTTACTCAAAAAGTGTCATTTGATCGTCATCTATGGGTAGGTGTCTAAAGTGATTAACATGTAACTTCTCCCTGTAATATCTAAACATCATCCAGCAAACAGGTCATGAGAATACTCAAACTTACTAGGTAGAAGTTACTATTTCAATCTAACACCAAATTCTCGTAACTTATTTACAAGGAAATGTCTAGCAGCTAGATGAGATAATTGACAATCAGATCTTGGGAGTTAAAGGGTTAAGACCAAGAGAGGATTTTTTACTCTCCCTGGTGTAATATACCAAACATCTGAGCAGTTGGTCTCACTTCTGGCTGTTAGACATTTAATGCAAATTTGCAAATAGAATTTGGTTTTGTCAGAGGAAAACTTCCTCTCTGTGATATGTTTGTCTGTTCTCGTGAATCGTGTGCTTAATGATATGATCATGATTATTAACCATTGAAAAGAAAGTACATGTACATGTTGATAACATGTGTGGGAAGAATGATAAGAATGAAATTCATAACACAACAATTTAATGACTCAAGAACTGAAATATAATAAACTAAGCAGTCTCTACATATGATTTCTAATTGTCTTTCAGCAATTAAAACTGAGGGTGGACTCGATACAAAAGGGCCTGAGTGAAGCTAAAGTCAACTACTCCATGTGCTTGAGGTCCTTAGAGATCATCAGTGACGATATCCATCAGAAGAGAAAAGACAAGAAAATGCTGGCTCTGTTGGCCAATCTGCAAGAAAGAGAAGCGGGTGTTGGGGCTGATTCTGAAGATGAAGCATCTCTGGAGCAAAGCCAACTCGATCTTGACCTTGACTGTAATTCAAGTCTCAGCGAACTGGATGGAATAGCTGCAGAGCACCTCCCTGATTTGCCCACTTTGGCCGGCAGGGTTTTTACTGATGCAAAGGAACCTTCTGGTGTAAATGTGTCTACCACAAGTGCAGCTGCAGAACAAGGAAATAAGAGCCCAGGGTCGATTTCAAGGGGCGCACTGGAGAGGAGTGTATCAGGCGCCGAGAACAGCGAAAGCGTCGATTCTGATTCGTTGGCAAGTTTAGCAAGATCTGGCTCTTTAAAACGAGAGGTCTATGGCTGTGAGCAGGAAGAGAACGAAGCTGAAGAGTGTAACATTTCCAATAAAGAGATACAAGGGGAAGGATATGAAAAAACTTCAGAATCGACAGAGATACTTGACAGGAATATAACATTAACATCTGAAAGCGACTGGTCTGAAAATGATAGTGATAGACCTGTGGGTGACAGCTCAAGTGCGCAACAAGAGCAGATGGAGAATGAAAATCTTGACATAAGAGAGAGTGGTGTTGCTTCCTTACATGAAGCAGCTGTTGAAGTAACTCGGACACTTGATTCTGAAGCATCTTGCGATGTTAACAATACAGACGCTAAACATGATGTGGTGAAAACCCATGATGTAAGCAGCAAGTGCGAATCATCGCAAACAAATGATGAAGCTGTTGAAGTGGAATTAAAAGATATGCCAACTGCCTTATCGTCAGAGGTACTTACCGGGAATACCGCTGATCAATCTGAGCCTCAAGAAGATCAAGCAGAGGCCAATCTGGAGAAATCCTCTGATAATGGAGAGTGGATTTAGCTGGAGAGCTCGAAAATGTGACCTACAAATGGTCTTAAAATAGGCTGTTCATACCAGTTTCCTTAGGATCTCTATTGGAAATCAGAGAAACCCGGCCATTTTGTACTAGTGTAAGAGAAGCCTCCTTAGCTCATGGTTAAGTTGTAGTTTAGAGAAGCTTTTGTATCAGTGACGCAAACAACATCACATGCATAGATGATGACTAGAACACAAACTGTGAAAGATATTATATTTTTCCTTTTACAGATTTGTGTATGTTTTTTCAGAAACAGTATATAATTTTTTTCACCAAATTTTTATGATTAATAATATACATGAAGAAATTACGTACTTCTGATTGGCTGAAGACGAGTGCATTCTCGTGTAACACGAGTGCAAAGTTGTAACACATGTGCAAATTACTGCGCGCGCATGCTTTCAAAATTTCGTCTTTCTCGACTTTCTGTGCTGTTTTTTCATGTATATTATTAACAGGAAATAAAATGATTTCTCTCGCAATTTGGTGTAATAGGCACTTGAAAAGTTTTCAAAGACTACAAATTGTACTTGCCCACTTGTGCAATTTTTTTGTCTTTTACTCATGCTTGTTAACACCAAAAGTTGCACTTGAAATCGTGTTATTACCTATACTAATTGTGCAAGGTATTATGGTTTGTATAATACAGATAAAGATGATATTGATAAGATGGGGATTTGAACAATCAAATGAAATAATAAAATAGTAAGGATATATTTTATATTGTAAACATTGTCTGACTACACAGTAGCATAGTCTTCACTTTGACACTTTGAGCACCCCTTTGGTCAAGTCTCACTATGACTTTGCTCATGCTCTCTACAGAGCACAGTAGTGGAGAAAGGTAGTGGACAAGAGTTTTTTTTTTGGGGGGGGTTGGGCGGCTGTGAAAATGGAAGGGATGGAATATTATGTGTACTCTTTGGAACATCAAATGGGGGTACCTTGTGCCATATTTTAAAAACGTTTAGGTGTTCTTTCTTCGGCGGCTACACTATTGCGTTCTCCTGAAAAAAAAACTAACAACGAGTAGACAAAAATTCGCCTTCTTCGATCGACCAGGCAACTGGGTGAATAGACTTTTTATACTGAGTCAAGAGTAATGAGCATCTTCCTCCGCAAACTTCATCAGTCTTATCTGTTAGGACTTCCTCAGTTCGATGCGCCGTGCGGCTGTTCACTTAGTCAATAAGGAGTAAACCTTTACCTATGTTGCTATCTCCTTGTGTGATAGAATGACAGCACTTTTAATATATTTTGCTTACTTTTAATTTTGTTTTCCCTTCATGGGGGAGTATTAATGCATTGATTCCTTTGTGTTTTTTCCTTCACCGGTAAATTACACTGCGTCATTATTATCTTTGCGCTCCTTTTGTTACGCTCCCTTCGTAAGAGGATAGCGAAAAATTATTCATTTATTCGCGCAAGTCAAAAAAAATCAGTTGCTGTGAATTTTTTTCTTTTGTCACATTCCGAACCGTCATTCACAATAATTTTTATCAAGCTTAATACTTGATTAGCAGGCTCAGCGTGCAAACAGAACTCTCTCCCAAATCTGTGACGTAATAGCCGATTATTGGCTGCAGTTGTTAATTCATATTCATTAATAGTTGTAGAATTTTCAGCAAACCACGCTGTTCTTCGTAGAGTGAAGACGTGCTGTTCCGTTATACCGAAAATCACATTCCACTCTGAAAAGAAGACGACACTGGACCTGTAAAGAAGCTATGAGCAACAAAAGCACTCTTATGTCACTAGAACAGCAGGTGAGCATTTACTTACGAAAATATCACCCCAAGCTTCTTCAGAAATCTAAACAAACGCGTCGTATTATCTCGTACGAATCGCTTGCTCGGTCTAAGCGGTTCATCGACTCGAAATAAGACTTGCTTATGGTGTTAGCTTCGAGAAAAGCAAAATCTGTAATTGTGAAATATTTTACAGAAGGCTCAAAATTAAATTGTTTTGCACCCCAAATCTATTCGGTCATAATTTTGTATTTGAATACTGCCACGTGGAGGTCTAATGACTCCTCTACTCGGTGGCTTTTGCCTCTTCGTAGACGACATTTCAAAACGTTTTGATGCTTTCCCTTTTTCTATAATTGTGTCAAAGAACAAAACAATTTAACCGAATTTTTTGTTTGTTTTCGTCCTCATGAAAAGTAAGCATTCCCTGATCACATTCATATTTTCTTCTTTCAGGAAGAGTAATGTTTTCAGAAGGATGGAAGAAGATGGATTCTGGTCAAGAGAAGACACTTGAATCGCTGAATTTTTAGTGGACACAGCAAAGATAAGACCTTTGAAATTACTCAGTAATACTAGTGAAAATGGTGGCTCTTATAAAGTTTAATTATTGTGCGAAGTCTTCGTTCTTTCGTCAATTGTCTTGGAATGGATAAAACTGATTACATGGTGAGTCAATAGCTTTCGATTAGTCACCATTTTTGGAATGGTTTGTTGTGTTACGAATTCTCATGCAGACCATGAGCGATGTTTTCATATATTTGAACTACTAGCTATAATTTGGTGTAATCAAACTCGGACAATCTCGCGTTGCATCGAGTTAAGACAGAAACAATTGGAAACTGATATAATCCTGGCTACAGAATGCTGACACTAAAATATTAATTTCAAAGTTCTGATCGCTCGCTATTTTTGGTTTGTTTAACAGTTATATCCCAGTTGATGTCACAAAGAGTTGAAATTAAGGTGGCACTTTAACAAAATACTTTTCCCAAACAAAGACCAAACTGGAGTTCAAAATTGAAATCTTTTGACGAGTTTGATTCATTCTCGCGTCGAATTTTCTTTACGTCAAATATCACTTTTCTGAACACCATCAACTAAAAAAATCTTCAAAGACTGACTTTGAAAAGGTATTTTTCTACCCTGAGGAAGACAGATGACACCAAATATCGGCACCTCACAAACGACTTAAAAAAGAAACTAACGCAGTCCGGCACCAATGGTTCAAAACAGAAAAGACTGATCAAAGTTGACCAGTAAACGGACAAACGCCATTTGAGTCTAACAGCCTCTTTACTGCAAAATGACCAATCAGTTTTACAACAAAAGTTGCAACCTCGATTTATATCCATATATTCATTCAACTTTGATGACTACTACTAATAGACTATTAAGACAGTCGCTAGTTTCGACGACAAAGCTCTCAAGACTACTCTCGCTCGGACGCCCGTACTTCACGATTGACAACTGAATGGTACCAGCAAAAAGAGTTGGTCAAAACTTGATTTAATTGAAAATTAATTGTCGGAATAATATGTATTAAACAGAAAGTTTAGGAACTTTGGTTACAAAAAATAATTAAGAGGATTTGTGCTTCACACAAAGAACGCTGAGGAATTTCATACAGTGCCATCTTGGTTGTACCTGTTACTTTGTGCCATCAACTGAGTTCGGTTTCCGATGAAAAGTAATATATGTTTTAAAACTCTAATGCCTGGTCACGAGCTCTTTCGGAAAACTGATGAAGTTGAAATCTGCCTTTATATAAACCAGTTTCAATTGACTCCTTTTTACGAAGTAGAAACACGGATTTTCGTATTTCAAGAAAAGTTTATTTGATAGGAATTAAGATGCGAATTTTTTTGCAAAACGTTGAAATAGTTTACAGATTGGACTAAAGTCAACGTGAATGAACGAGCCAATCTTTTGACCAGTAAACAATCAGTAGGTATATTAGCGAAGATTCGTTGTTATGAGGGATTAAATTTGTCTCACGCGAACAAGAAAATTGCATTATTATTTGCTCGTCACCTTTTATTTAATTTACTACGCTTTCTTAATTTTTCCAGACAAACGCTGGAATGAGAAATACAGATCAAATAAAATTAGAGAATTTGATAGTTTACCAAAATCAAAACAGTTACATTTTCCTGTTCAGTGCCTTCATATACAAAGTGATCACGAGTGTCGAGGAAATTTAAGAATTTGTAAATTTGTTTGCTCATTTCAGAATAGAAAATTGCACAGAAAGCATGATGATTTTATGAAATCGAAGCACGAACCAAAAATTCAAATGAGTTATATTCAAAGAGAAGTTTATGGAAATGAATAAGTTTATTATGTCCTCGTTTCGAAATTTAGTACTTTGGACTCGTTTGCTGCAATGGTTGTCATTTTGCTGGTTTATATAAAACTGTTCTTTCTTTCGAAATCTTTAGGTAGTCCTCAAAACTTGTGAATCAGGTCGCATTAAAAAAAATGAATCACTTAATTTCCAGGGATTTGGTTTTAAAATGTGTGGTAACTAGTTTCTTTATTACTTAAATGTAAGTGGAAGGAAGATCTTTTGACTGTCACTCGGTGTAACACAGAAATACGTAAAAGTAAAACGATCCACGAAACTATGAAACTTTGATCTTCAAATTGAGTTCATTAATACATGAAAACAGACTGCGTTTGACTTAAATCCGTTAGGATAATAGGCTGCAGGAATTCGTCGTAAATAATTTGGAGCCTTAATTTTAAGTTTTTATAGCCCCCTTTTGGCTAACCTAGAACTCAGAATCTGCTCCAACAATTGATACTATTTCATTTATCAAATTACTTTTCGCATCTAGGAGCCTAAATCGACAGGTGTCAGCCGAAAAGGCTAAAATAAAGCTTAGCGTTCGCTCCGACTTTGTAACTTGTTACTCATATTTTAAATTTCTTTGCGAATTTGATTAAAGAAACCTGTGGAACCTAATTTTGCGGCCCAAATCAACTAGAGTTCGTTCCAACTGATACCATCTTGGTTTTTGAAACTGTTCCACGAAGTTAGTATTAAAAATTTGGAACCTAATTGTGCATGAAATGTCTTCGCTGTCGTGGCTTGAATCAAATTAAAAAAGTATGCTCCAATAGTTAAGAAATTTTTATAATAAGGAAGTTTTGAATAAAGGCATTTGCCTTTGGTAGTTTTTTCCATCTGTGTTACATTCGAAAACTGGCGGCTTTAAAGATCTTTTACTCCGAATAAAAAATCATCACGGCAAGATATAAACTTACAAAACAAACTATTGGATTTGCAAACAAACTATTGGATTTGCAAACAAACTTTAAATTAGGAAATTGTTCACAGTATTGGAGATAAATTAAATATATTTGATCAGTTGCTCTATAACGTGCCATGATGCTTTTTAGTTCGGAACTTTTACACATCATCTTGTGCAAAGAAGTGAAGTCTTATGAAAAAATTGGTTAGAATATTAAATGAAAGACACTGGTATTTTCTGGAATAATTTGTTTTTTTATAGGAGTGAAAGAAAATTGGTGATTACTCTTCAAATTCTTTTTGCACAGGATGCGGTTTAAGTATATTTGGAGGGAATTTTTATAGGAAGCCTTCTTAAAATTTTTGCCGGAAAAGTTGCCAGGGGAAACTCTGTGCAAACTGGTACAAATTTTCCCGCCAAAAGTCTTAGAATATATACGAAATTTTTTTTCTTGGCTCTTTTTTATTAATTTAATCGAAATTACTTATAAAACAAACAAAATACTTTACTGAATATGAAACTTGTGGTTTATTGAGCATATATATAGAAAATAAAAAATGATACAAAAACATTTATTGACTTGCTGATAGATCTTAATAAACGAAAGATAACAATTTTTGTTCAGTAGGAAGATTATATCTAATAAACACAACTCGATTTCAAAAAAAAATTGGCGCATGCGTATTTTGAGCGCCGTATTTTTTCCAAGTCTTTTGGCGGGAAAACTCGCCACATTTGAACAGATGTTACTTACAGAATATATATATCACGCGTACTTTTAGCGCCAACAAGTTTTTAGGCGGGAAAGTTTTTCATATTAAACCACAGCTAACATTAATTAAA